CGATGGATCAGCTGTCCTCGCTGCTACGAACACCACACCAGATAAAATTTTACTGCCGCGGGGCACTACTGTCGCCTGCGTTGCCGATCTGGAGCCTGTGTGCGTCGTGCCTCTTACCCCTGCCTCCTCTAAAGGCCATCCTGGAGATCATGCTGCTTCCTCGGCCTTTACAGCAGCCATCAACAAGGACTTGACAGACTCGCAAAAGCAGCAGCTGCTTGATTTGTTGCAAAAGCATGCAAACTCTTTTGACGTTCATTCATCCAGCCTGGGTCAGACAACTGCTACAGCACATCGTATTCAGACCGACGGAACATCCATTGTGTATCGTCGTCCGTACCGCGTCTCCCTAGCCGAACGAAAAATCATTGAGGAAAACGTAGACGATATGCTGCAACGGGAGATAATCCGACCCTTAACCAGTCCTTGGTCGTCTCCAGTGGTTCTGGTGCGTAAAAAAGACGGTTCCGTACGATTTTGCGTTGATTACCGAGCACTCAATAAGATCACTAGGAAGGACGTATACCCCATGCCACGTATCGACGACGCGCTCGATTCTTTACAAGGTGCTGAATTCTTTTCAAGCCTCGACTTGCGTTCCGGCTATTGGCAAATCCCCATGCACGAAGAGGACAAAGAAAAAACTGCGTTTGCAACCTCGGACGGCCTATACGAATTCAATGTTATGCCGTTTGGTCTATGCAATGCGCCCGCAACTTTTGAGCGCTTGATTGACACCGTACTGCGTGGCCTGAAATGGAAGACTTGCCTATGTTACCTCGATGACATTGTTGTATTTTCATCGACGTTTCCTCAACATCTGCAACGCTTGGACGAGGTCCTGACTTGCCTTGCGGGCGCTGGTTTTCAAATTAACACCAAGAAGTGCCATTTCGCCAGCAGATCTATCAAGGTCCTCGGTCATGTTGTGAGCAAGGACGGAATTCGTCCAGACCCTGAGAAAACTGCTGCGGTGCTTCGCTTCCCTCGCCCTGACAAGCCGAAAGATTTGCGAAGTTTCCTTGGTCTCGCCTCTTACTTTCGGCGATTCATACAAAACTTTGCCTCCATAGCCGCACCACTACATAAGCTACTTGCTTCTGGTACGCCCTTTCAGTGGTCTCAGGAATGTGAATCGACTTTCGACAAATTGAAGAGTGCCCTCACGACCGATCCTGTACTTTCTCACTTTCACGATGGTGCACCGACCTTCCTCCATACAGACGCTAGCGGCCACGGTTTAGGAGCCGTGCTCCTCCAGCGCGACAACTCTTCGCGAGAGCGAGTCGTTGCGTACGCCAGCCGCGTCCTCTCCGCAGCCGAGAGGAACTACACGATCACCGAGAAGGAGTGCCTCGCCATCGTTTGGTCAGTGCAGAAATTTCGTCCCTATCTTCATGGCCGCCATTTCACCATCGTGACCGACCACCATGCTTTATGTTGGCTTTCGACACTCAAGAACTTGTCGGGACGCCTCGGCCGCTGGATTCTACGCCTACAAGAGTATGATTTTGACATCGTATACAAGTGTGGCAGAAAGCATAGCGACGCCGATGCTCTCTCTCGCTGCCCACTACCAGCGGCTCCCCTCAGCGTTTCCGCAATCACTTTGCACAACACGCCCTCGAAGACCACGTCTACGGCGGTTTCCTCTCTCGCCTCTATGGACCAGCTGCCTTCGGACGATCCGCACGATTTTTCTTCTCGACAGCTGGCTGACCCATACTGTCGACGTATTATAGGCTACCTCACTGGCAGTTCCCGTCCACCTAATGCGAGGCTCCGTCGCCAACTCTCGCAGTTTAAGCTGGACAACTCGGTGCTGTACCGCAAAATTTACCATCCTGACGGTCAGCGCTGGGTTCCCGTTCTACCCCGATCGCTTCGGTCCGAAGTCCTCAGAGCACTTCATGACCATCCGACGGCAGGTCACCTTGGTTACCACAAAACCTACGATCGCCTTCGAAGTCGGTTTTATTGGCCAGGTATTACCACTAGTGTAGCTCGGTACGTTGGGTCCTGCACTACCTGTCAATCTAGAAAACTACCCACATCTGCTCCAGCCGGTACACTACAGCCTCTTCCGTGCCCAGCCACACCATTCGAAGTTGTAGGCATCGATCTTTATGGCCCCCTTCCAGTCAGTGCTGCTGGAAACCGATGGATAGTAACAGCCGTTGACCATTTGACGCGCTACGCCGAGACGGCATCCGTCACTACCGGTTCAGCTTCTGAAATTGCCGATTTCATCCTCCGAGCCATTATACTGCGTCATGGTGCTCCACGTGTATTGCTCAGTGACCGTGGAAGGGCCTTCCTTTCACAACTAGTGAACAAACTTCTTCGCGCTTCTGGCACAACTCACAAGACTGCCTCTAGTTATCATCCCCAAACTAACGGCCTCACTGAGCGATTCCACCGCACTCTTTCTGACATGATCGCCGCCTACATTCAACCAGACCACAAGAACTGGGATGTAGTCCTACCATTCGTCACTTTCGCCTACAATACGGCTATTCAGCGGACAACCGGCTACTCACCATTTTACCTAGTTTATGGACGCTCCCCTACTTCTCTCCTGGACGTCTCTTTCTTTACCTGCCATGTGGATTCATCTCCATCCTCTTCAGAGGAATACGTTTTACGGCTCGCAGAGAGCCGCCAACGTGCTCGTATAAACACTGAAGCCCGACAGCAAGACAGAAAGCTGGTTTATGATGAATCCCATCGTGCTGTATCCTTTCAACCTGGAGACGAAGTGCTTCTTTTGACGCCTATTCGCACACCTGGTTTGTGCGACAAATTCCAGCCACGGTTTATCGGGCCGTACACAGTTCTTGAAGAAACTTCACCAGTGAATTATCGCGTGACGCCACTTGTAGCCCCAGCTGATCGCCGTTATCGAACTACTGAGGTCGTCCATGTCTCCCGTATGAAGCCCTTCATGCGACGTTCTTTGTCCCCTTGACTTGCCGCGGCCAGGCTGGCCGCTTTCACGTGGGGGGAATTAGTGTGGGCATTTAGTATACCAATCCTCTTCATCTGTACATTATCATCATTATCATGTGTTGCTCATGCATCCTCATCGTTGTCACGTATCATCATCATCTTGGTCCGTTCATCTCAGCTGTCGGCTGCCGGTTCTTCGGGCCTAATAAAGGTCTTCCAAACCAAGACTTCATAGTATATATATATACAGATACTGGTTTTTTACCACCTTGTCACCAATAGACACCACTGACACGCTTTCGGAGCAGCGTAAAGATCCATACCTTGCATTGTTACTCGACTACCTTACTGATCCGTCTGCTGTTCCTTCCACGAGAGCGCTACCCCGACAAGCAGCCCACTTTTCCGTGCGAGACAGCATTCTGTACCGCCGCAACTACATGCCTGGTGGTCGGAAGTGGCTCCTTGCTGTCCCAACTCATAGGCGCTCTGACATCTGCATGAATTTCCATGCAGACCCCCAAAGTGCTCACGCAGGTGTCCTGAAAACCTACGAAAGGCTGCGCCAACGATATTACTGGCGAGGACTGTATCGCTTTGTGCAGAAATACGTTCAGTCTTGCACCACTTGCCAACAGAACAAGACACCTCCGCGGCACCTTACTGGCATGTTACAGCCGCTCCCATGCCCAGCTCGCCCATTCGACCGCGTGGGTATCGATCTATATGGCCCCCTCCCATATAGTCGCTCTGGAAACCGGTGGATTATTGTCGGCGTCGATCATCTGACACGCTACGCTCAGACTGCAGCTCTACCAGCAGCGACCGCCCACGAAGTTGCACTTTTCATTCTGTGCAGCTTCATTCTCCGCTAGAGGCTCCACGGGAATTACTCAGTGATAGGGGTCGAGTGTTCCTGACGGAGGTCATCCAAGCTATTCGCGGTGAATGCAACATCATTCACTGGAAATCTACCGCATACCATCCACAGACGAATGGTCTCACGAAACGGTTCAACTGCACACTTGGCGGCATGCTGAGGATGTACACCTCCTCCGACCACACTAACTGGGACGCTGTATTACCTTTTGTTACCTTCGCTTACAACACCGCGACACAAGCGACTACCGGTTTTTCCCCGTTCTTTCTGTTGTACGGCCGCGAACCATCCCACCCACTTGACACCATACTCCCGTACCGCCCTGATGCTTCGGAGTGCTCCCCGCTTTCGGAAGTCGCCACATACGCTGAAGACTGCCGTCAGTTGGCTCGGTCTATGACAAGTGAGGCTCAAGGTCTACAAAAAACTGGACATGACGACGCTCATCACATAGCGCCTGCGTTTCGTACTGGCTCCCTCGTGTGGCTTTGGGTGCCCCCCCACGTTCCTGGCCTGTCTTCTAAACATCTGGCCCAGTACCATGGTCCATACCGTGTCATTGACGCAACCTCGCCGGTGAATTACATCATCGAGCTCCTAACACAATCGCCAGATTTGCGCCGTCGAGGACCCGAGACCGTACACGTCGACCGTCTCAAGCCCTACTACTACCCCATCATTGTGCCTGCTCCCTGAGTCGCCAGGATGGCTACTCTTGATCCCGGGGGTATTGTAGTAAAGCATACGCACTAACGCGTGTGCGCCTTCCAAAGAGAACGAAAAACCCCGGGCTCTGATTGTACGAGAACCTGGGCCGCCTTTGCCAGACTTGTCGTACGGCCATTTTTCGTTGCGACTTTCCGGTTCAATAAACGTCATCACAATGGTCACAGTTAGAATTGATGAAATCACCCTCATATGAACGAACTAGGTCTTCAACAGTCCTTTATTAGCAGGTCTTTTGTGCTACTCTAATGATTATTGGTATTTGATTCAGGTTTTTAAAGGGCTCACAAAACAACAAATAGAAACAATAAGTTAAAAATTTTGAACTAGTACTCCCGTAAAGCACAGCTCAATGACATGACAAATCTTACAGCTCAATATTCATTCATAGTGCCATTTTACGAAGTCAACTTCAACGAAAAGTGACAGGGCGGCGGCACCTCACCTCAGCCTGTAGAGGGCAGCCAAGCCATGCTCTGTGATTTGAGGACATCCAGAGACGTCCAGGTGCTCCAAGGTATCCCTGAACTGGCTTAGCCTGTCCATGAACCAGTCGTCCACGTTTGGATTACCAGCCAGCCGTAGAGCCTTAAGACCGTCGAGACATGCTGGAGACACCCCCCAGAAAAAAGAAAAAAAAAGGACCACTTTCAAAACAACTCTAATGTGCACCCCCCTATTTATTATTCATATTAATGATCTCCCTGATGTCATATGCTCTTGCACATTGTGTTTTCAGGATTCATAGCACCTAAGTGAAACAAAATTCAAGGGTTTTTAAGGACTTTTAAGGACCTTAACAAATACTTTTCAAGGACCTGAAGTAACATTTGAAACTGCAGAAAATGACACCATTACTTACAGCTACAAAAATTTGTAATTTATTTTATTTGTATGGCTAGCACCATGATTGCACCCAAGCTACCATGGACAGTGGTCGCTTTTGTGTTCTCAATGTATTTCGTACTCTTCATGTGACTTTTAAGGGCAGACTCCCCCATCGACGACACATCAAAGCTCTTTCTACATGGGAAGACTTTGCCTGATGCGAGTTCTGGTGCAATCCACTCCCTATAAGCAGCAATGCATGACCAAGACTGCTGGAATTTGCACTTGCCCGGCATATTTTTACTATAAGCGATGAGACCGCCGATATCTGCACACAGTTGCACAGTCTCCACAAAAAAGCCAGGCTTAGCTCCGTTGCTGTTAAAACCACGCAAGCACTACAACTACAGTGTACTAGAAGAGTACGATGTACTACAACACTGCACTATGGCTATGGAGACGGGTTGGATTGGATGGTTTGAGAGCACATAGTAGGCAGGCATGCAAAAAAAATCCACTAAATTATGGCTTAAGAAACTTCGATTGATGAAATTCAAGGGCTTTGAAGGACCTCTAATAAATTTAAGGGTTTTCAAGACCTTGAAAATTCTTTTGAAATTCAAGGGTTTTCAAGGGTTTCAAGGACCGCTACGAACCCTGGTTTTGTATGCTGATGACACCACAGTATCATGTAAGGCCAAAAACAGCTCCATCTTTAATATCAAAAGTGAACTCTGTACTCAGCGATGTAGTTTTATGGTGTAACAACAACATAACTTTAATTAAACCCCTCTAAAACTCGGTTCATGGTTTTCAGGGCTTCTCGAACACATTTGCTAACTTCTGCTGTTATAACTATGGATCTATGCTTGTGATACTGTTTCACATTACGACATTTTGACAATTCATTTTTGTGAATTCAACATGCCCAAGATAACAACCACACCCCATTAATATGGACACCGTTGTTCCCGAGGAAAACATTCCTGTAAAGTTAGTCATTCACAATGGTAAGCGATAAAAAGTTACAATAAAAGAATGGTGGAGAGAAAATATCTTTCTGCACAGTGTGCTGTTGTCTGCGTTGACTATTTTCGTCACTCTCATGTGCTGAAGCATCACTGCCTATCACGAAAAATAGCCGATCTGTTTCGCTCCAATACAAAAACAGCGCAGTTTCTCCGTTGATTTAAATAAAATAACAGTTTTGTTTTTTGGCATTGCCACTTGCACAGCGATATCGGTGCATTCCACAGTTCGAGTAGAAGGTATCCGAAGTGCCCGCTTAATTGTGTCACAGGGCTTAAAGGTAGTCTGACGTTTCTTTCGTGCCCCTGCTGGAACCAGACCCTTTTCGATCACTTGGAAGACCTTATGGCAGATTGCACGGCCAAGCTCATCTGCACGTACCCTCAGCCCATGCAACAGTTCACAGAGTACCAGGTAGAAATAATGTAGGAATGATGGGTCAAAATGGAAATCTAATACACACACACGTGTAGATTATTTGCTGGGTTTGAATGCCAGAAATGTTGTATCCAGGAAAACAAATAAGAAGCATATATACGGGGTTCTGTTGTACCTTGGTCACTGCTACATTAGAAAATAACGAAAAAAAATGAAGAGAGATATTCAGATGCTCCTTTTTACTAGGAAAATGGGGGCAACCGAAGCTTAGTGGGTGTAAGCCTGACCTTGCATGTATTTTTATCGCTTTGCGCAACGCTCCGTCCAAACCGTTTTTTCCCATCGTGCCAGGAAGTGAACCTCCATTCATGTAATTAGCAGCGCAACCCTTCATTTGGCGCAGCAAGAACAGCAGGTCATCCCTTCGTACCCACACGAGAAATTATGTACACGAAATGACAAGCCACCTAGGTAACAGATCAGATTGCCATACAATGAATGTTGTCAACAAGCCTACAGTTGAGAGAGCAGCAATGCTTGGAAAATAGTGCATACTAACACGATGTGACTAGCCGGAAAAACCTTCGACGGGCCGCCTTTCTGTATTCCTGCCAGCTCGGGGATTTTCGTGTACGCCACTGAAATCTGAGAATTATAAATGCTTCGCACAAAAAGCTATCGTAGTGAAGTTTTAGGTGCCCTATAGTTGATGTGGCTGAAGGGAAATTTGACAACAAAAATACAAGGTTAAATGTGCTGTTCTCTGTTTCACAAAAACTTTTCACTAGAAGAGTGTGGAAAGCTGGGTTTGTTGGTTATATATGATTAAAAGAACAGCATGAAAGAACCTCAACACACACAGAAAGAGAACGCACAAAGTGTTGTGTTGCGTTGCCTTTCCGTGTGTCCCGTGGTTTTTCATGCTGTTCCTTGAAACGTCTTTACACTCACTGAGATTGTCCAAGCCCTCATAGTAGAGCTCGGCATTGGAAGCGTCGATGGCTTCGACGACCCATCCTGGTTCCTGCCTCAGTGGAAGGCCAGTCTCATCATCTTCAGTCTTCTTGTACCACTCGTCCTTGTCGTGGAACTTGATGAGCGCCCCTCGAAAGATGAGGAACGATGCAGCAGCCAGATCGGGACCCAGGATACCGTGGCGTTCTGGAAAGAATCTAGATGGGCCGTAAAAGATTATGTCTAAGAACAACTACTCAACAAACGTAGGGCAGGGTTCTCTCCATCATAGAGTTTCCTAAGATTAACTAGAGGGGACTCTGGAGCCACAATCTTTTAGTGACCATGGGAGTGATGGGTAGTACATGGATTTGCCTAGTCTTCATGCTTGCGGGCTTCGAAGGCATCGTTTATTGCTGTGTTTCAATTTTGTTTTAAATAAAAAAAAACTGTTTTGAACTTTGTGACCCCATTTGAATTGGTGAGCATAAAAGGCTAACGTGGTGAAGCGCAAGTGCTAAACATTTGCTAATTTTAGTTTCGTGACAAAGCAGGTTCAGGCCATGCGAAGCCAACCGGCGCCAAAAGTACGAAGATTAGGCAAATCCATTTACTACCGATCATTCCCATGCACGCTGAAGCCTGGTGAAAGCACCTCCCATAAACACTAGCGCCAGAGTTCCCATGGCAGGATGACAGCAGAAATTACACACCCTGCAACACTTCACGGCCAAATGCTTCGGTTCAGCTCCCACCACCTTCGATGGACTACCTGCGGCTCTGATTGACTACTCTGCAATAACATGGAAAGGCGAGCAATGGTTTGTTCGGCTGCATAGAGGAACATCCACAGCCTGACAACCGGGCTGTGGATTCTAAAAGAAATGTAGTTTACAAGATTCTGTCCAAGTGTGGCCACTGCAATGTAGATCAAACCGGCTGATGCATAAATGTAATGTTAAAAAACACATGGCCAATCTGAAGGGAAAGTCTGACACTTATACGGCTTATACGTTGAGCACATGAAGATTCAAATTGTTTAGGACTATGGTGTAAAACTATTAATCTATCACTCGCTAGTTGCAACACACATCAATTACGCTCACCTCGTATGGGGTACTACTACTGAATCAAACCTTAGAAAAATACACGTACTACAAAAAAATAATATGTATAATAGCAAATGTAACATATAAACATCACACAGAGGACCTCTTCAGGCAGTACAACTTCTTTACTATCTTTTCCTTCTACAACAGTTTCCTACTTTGTGTATAGTACTACAATATAAATTCAGAAGATAGCGTATGTAACAAAATAGACTGTCTACAGAAAACACAGCTGCCCATACCACCCGTCACAGTGAAGTATGGTCTATACTCCACTCATGCAGAAATTATGGCAAGCAAATATTAAAAAAATAATTACCCAGATTTCTTAATTCACTTGAAAAGGTTGGTTTTATTACATCAAACATAACGTGGTTTCAACTAGCTTCACTTATTCAGTCACTCTCTTAGTGTTTTTTTTTCTTCTTTTTTATAAAACATCACTGCCTTTGCGAAGAATGTGCTTGAGCATGTATATAGTTGCGTTGTACAAAAGATACTGTTTCCTAACGCACACCTATATTTATGTTCTGCACATTACATTATATTTGTTGTTTTTTATTCATTTTTGCTTGTTTCGTCTAATTGTTAATCATTGTTGATGCCATCATGAATGTTGTTGGCATTCATAATGTGACCACGTCTTTTGCCACCTCTGCCAACTGCTGCCGCCATAGAGAAAGGGGGCAAAGAGCTCCTCAAGCTGCCCAGAGCCGCTTTTTCCTTGGCCTCTGCCATTGTATAAGAATTTCTACAATAGAAATAAATGAATGAATGAATGATCAAACAGCTGCTTTGTATGTTCACCATAATCTAACAAGAGAGATTGTAGAAGCTTGGTATATCCCCAGACATCAAGGCATGTGAGTAAGTCATCTGCCCATCGTATAGAATGAAAACTAAATACACTATTTCAACAGTATGATTTTGTATCCCTTCTGTTATTGGGGTTATCATTTTTCTGTAAATGGAAATGCACTGCCATTCCACCCATGCGCAGTGACTACGAGGATGCAGGAGACCCAAAAAATTACGATTTGAAACTACAATGCGCTCAACACTTTGACACATTCCTGTAAAGCATTAGATTTCTTTGATTCCATTGCATCGCATGAACTAGCTTTCTGAAGTGCCACACGTGATGCAGCACAACCTGTTGGCCTTGGTGACGGACAGAAGTACAGCAAATGTCGAACTCGGTCCTTTGTACTGGAAATCTTGGCACTGAATTCAACAACTTTGACCTCAATGTCATGCACCAATTTGGGGTAGAGTGAGGTGATAATTGCTCGAGTTTGACCTGTCAGGACCGTCACATTATTGTGAGAAACGCCATGATGGGGGGCTGTCGACAAACTTAAACCCCGTAGGATTCCTCAACATGTGCCTGGATTTCAGCATATAGGTGTTTTTGCATTGCGTGCCCATCGAAATTCAGTCAATGTGGCTGGAAATTCAGCCCGTATTCTCAAGAAAGCAGCGTGACACTTCATGTGCCAGATGACCAAGGCCGGGGTTTGAGCAAACTTGAATACTTGGAGAAGTCTAGTTTTGAAATCTCCACAACTGCTTAACTGGATATTTACTCTCATTGAACAAATGAGCTGGCAGCATTATGTGGATATCTTTCCTTCAAAATTATTCGTGTACTTGTAAAAAAAATGATCAAGAATCTTGGAAAAAAAAAAAAAGGCAATCAGCTGCACGATAACTCCGAGGTTCCGTACTTAAAGCATCGAAACGTCTTTTCATAAGTAAAACAAGTAAGGTGGGTTCAATATTGAATATCCAACCTCAAGATCGCGAAATGAAGTTGTGCTTTGGTATGTGACCTCAAGAGGTCAAGCCATGCATTTGTCACCCTTTGTTGCACATTGACAGGTTTCATCAAGTTAGATATGCTCACTAAGTCAGTAAAGTATACACTGAGATCACTTACACTAGAAGCTTCGCTCCTAACAAGCCCAGAGGAAAAGGTCGGTGAACTCACTCAGACTGAGCCAAGAGTCTGAGTGCGTCCAAGTAAGGAATATTTTGGCGAGTCTTAGTCCAAGTGAGCCCGGTTCAAGAAGATTATTGTGAGTGCAAGTCCGAGCGAGTTCGGCCAAGAAAAATTTTGGCGAGTCTGAGTGAGTACAAATCAAAAGATACATTTTTTGAGTGAGTCTAAGTGAGTTCTACTATTAGCGATCCATGGTGCCTAGCTACACACTCTTCAGCATTACCATCAGCCTTACCTGGTCTCAGCATCTACTCGCACGTATTCCAAAGTAGTGTCGTTCATACACAATTTAAATATTTATTGATCAGAGGCGCAAATTAGGTGGGCAGCCTTGAACTCCCCTCTCGACAACTTTTCCAGGAAAGTTCTTGATAACTATATCTCATATTGTCATCCCTTCCAAGAAAAATTGACCTTACAAGGTTTGCGAGCAAACATAACTCCGAATTCGAAGGTCCCATGCCATTCGATGCCAAGAAGAGCACCGATTGTGTGAGATATTGGTGCTGAAGAGCATTGACACCGTGTTTGAAAAGGCTAATTCAAGGCTAATGGATTCATGAGTCGGCTCACTCGGACTCAGATCGAGACATGAGTGTGGGTCTAAGCGAGTCTGGTAAGTATTGTTTTGGCGAGTCTCAGTGAGTCTAGTTGAAAAAAATTTTGGTGAGTCTGGGTGTTACCGACCTATGCCAAGAGGCAGTGACCATGCATGCCTAAAGCCATTAGAAATATTCCCACGTCCATGAGAGGTGGCATTCGTTTTCTTGATTGGACGAGGTTTGTATATTTATTGCACTTGATTCCGCTATTCATGCTTATCTCCAGGACTTTGAAGAAAACTCCTCTAAAAACCTCTTTAAAGAAGCGGGAACACCACACTTTGGATAAAAGTTGATCTAGCCGGTAGGGCTTCATTGCAGAAAGAGTAGGCGTACAGATAGACCTAGTTGGTTTGTAACTTCTGAAGAAAAAATTGTAGCACAAAGCGACCCAAGGCGAGGCAGGTAATAGCGCTAGCCCCGCGTACCATATTGTCCTTTGTGTCGCCTCTTGCGCTACGGTTTTTTTTTCTTCAGAAGCACAGACAGACTAGAAGGGCTGCACCTCGACAAACGTATCTGCACAGGCTATCTCTTCGGTGCCAAGTTACGTACTTTTGACTCGACAAACGTCGCATCCTTTCACGACGCAGCTTCCGCTCGAAGACGGCTCTCTCTGTGAAGTAGGCCGGTATGTTATGCAGGGTGGCCGCGAAGTCAACCCCGATTCCCTTGAACATCGAGCCCACCGACTCGAGTGGGCCGGGCTTCGAGTCGGTGCCCACGTAGTCGTCGCTCGTGTTGACGGGTATCTGTCTCTTCGTGCGCTTCCAGTCGGCGTCATCGCTGAAGCAGCGGCGACAGCTTCCCAGTAGCGACGTGCTCGCACGGTTGGCCTCGGCAGCGGACGCAGCCAGAACGCGGGGAAGGCGTTGCAGCAGCATCGTCAGACTCGCCGACCAGCAAGATGTGACCCACCGAGTTCCTAAACGGCTACACTGCCTCCAAAATAACGTGGCGGTCCAGTTTCTCTAAACAAACCGGTCGAACGGTTGCAGCGCAGAACGACGTTAGGTAGAACGGTTAGCCCCGGCGTAGGACTTTCACCAGTGACATCACTCGAGCAAATGACACAGCTGACTCTTTTCTACAACGAAGCGAGGCCTTGTAATATTCCACGGGGGCGAAATATTATTACCGGTGAAGAGACCGCACAAACATACTCATGTCATACCACCACCACATGGCTATACGCTTTGTAGAAATGAAAAACCGAGCGGACGTCGAAATAGAGGTATTTACCATACCAGCCTAATCAGCCGTCAAGTCAAGCCGGTCATGTATTAAAAATAAATTTATATATTTTTGGACATAAATGTGGCAAAACAGCCCACTTATAGCGCAAATTTTTACAAAGTTATAAAGAATGAGTAATACAATTCATATTACAGCTTCCGAAGTCATGCAGCTAGCGGGCTGCTAGTAGTTTTCATCTGCGTTCTTGAACTACAGTCATTACAGTCTTCTAGAACGTTTTCTAATTCCCTCCTCCCTCGACAAATGATGTCGTAAGCGAACTGATTTGAGCATCGTGAGCTGCATTACTTCTGTGGCCGCCGCAGGGCGCCGTAACGTGATGACGCTACTGCGTTTGAAGGAAAGAGAAAGGGCTCAAGGTCATGGAGCGCCGACGCTAGAATTTGTCGCCGTGGCACGCTTTGAAAAATTTGTCATGTCAGATCAGTTTGAAAAATCTCGCTTGGCAACATCGGATTTTTCCCATCTTAAGTAACCTAGGAAAAAATCGATGGTGCTCCTCTAGAACGGCGGAGATATCAATTACGAGACTAAGATGCCGAGTCTCCCCTGAACTTTTATCTACACAGGTCTGGTCTGGCACAGTCTCCCCTATGCCACCACTGCAACGAGAGTGAATCCCTTCACCATTTCCTCTTAACATGCAGGTTATACAAAAACAAAAGGAAGAGACTGTTAGAAGAACATCTCCGTAGGTTGGCTCTAAATTTATCCCTTCCGGTGATCCTCTCCTTTGGAGCAACTGAAAAGGGATTTAGCCACAGGAATGTTTGCGAGGCCGTATGCGATTTTCCTAAAGGCAACAAAACGATTAGAATGTTAAGCTGAGGCATAAATTCACTTTATTTCAAATCGCATTAGCCTGTTCGTTCTTTGTATTACCTCTAGTTTATTTCTAATCTATCGTTTACCAATTGGCTCTTTGTTTAAACATAGTTATCTAAATAATCCGGCTGGTTAAACAACTCCACCTCACAAATGAGGCACCAACCATTTCATGGCCCATCCCCGTGGTGGGTTGCGCCAGGACTCTGAGGAACAACTAACCAACCAATCATGGAGCGTGCTAACGCGTTTATTTGGGGGCTTTATCTTGCACATTACCTCCTGCTCTTTCAGAAAGCTCGGTGGTACTAAAGGAGAGAGTGTGCAACGAATCCCTGTGACATGACAGATTCTTATGGAGTCGTTCGATCATTACTTAAAGAAAGTGTTACTGGGCCACCCTTACAGTATGCATACTTCAATTCCCCCTGTACAAAAACGTAGGAGAATTTATTTACACTGAATGGAATAAACAAATCAATTGTTGAAACATATATCTGGTTGAAGGAAATTGGAATTGGGGTACTCGTGCTATAGGAAACATGCTCGAAGGAATAACTGGCAAGGTACGAGCTGGCACCAATGCACCTACTGAAATAGGCGTGCGTACAGAGGGGCATGGTGGGAAGGGGCAACCTGAAAACATAAGAGGAGGGGTGCAAAGTTAGCTCCATACATTTACATAATGGAGAGGGGAAGGCACTACAAGCAACCTTTGCTCCTCCCACCCTTTCCCTGAAGGAGAACCCGGCGCATGCCTATGCCTACTGACACTTGCATCTACTTCACAAAATATTTCCCGAAAAACAGGTGACAGCTAGGTGTCCCCGGCTAGACTCCATCCTGACATGCTCAAACACGCACAACATACCATCGCACGAAGTGTCACGCAGACACTCTCTCACTGTTCGTAAATTGGTCGTGGGTGGCATGACTCACAGCTGGACCTGGGAAGCCTAGGGAACCCTGAACCAGGCCCTGCAAGCAGCAAAAACCAGTTGGCCCATGGACGAGCAAGTCTCACCCATTGTAACCTTGTGCTTACTGTAATTTTCTCTCTCTCTCTCTCTTCATTTAAAGTTGCGCAGGTCGAGTGGTTACGATTTGGGTCAGTCTGATACTTGAAGGCCTGCTCTCATAACTGTCCACTCATGCTTGTGTTTCGAAGTCTTCTCGCAAGCGCTGTTACCTTTCCCATTCCTACAGTGTCGAGCTAACTGTTGCTTTCTTTTTAGCCTGATAGATTGCACAAATTACTTGGAGCTTCCTGAACCAGTTTCACTGTTAAAAAAGCCTCCACACAGTCACAATGCTGCAAGTTGTGGCATATTTTTTTTTTTTTTTTTTTGTGGCCTCCTTGCTTAAGCACTGACCCAATCCAAATACTTATTACCGATGCCGATAGTGGCACCTGCATATGCGCCAGCTTTCTTGGGGTGCAACGGGTGAAATAGAAGAGCGAGCGGGACTTATCCTTGCTAATTGATGGCGTGTATCGAGGCTGCACTTGGTGCAATAAGGATATGAAGAATTATTTATTTCAGCCCTTCTTAAGTCAATTCTTCAAAGGAAAAATTGCGCTACTAAAGAAAAAGACACCCCAAAGAAGAAACACTTAAACAGGTCGAGCAATCTGTTTAAGTGTTCCTGTTTTGTGGTGTCTTTTTCTTTAGTTGCACAATTTTTCCTTTGAAGTAATAAGCTAACTAGCCCCTCAAGACGTCCTGATCTTTATTCAATCATTTGCTCTTAAGCTCTACATAGAGTTTAAGCAACTCTTGTACCTCAAAAAGTTTAAAAGAAAATGAAGTATGGCATTTCCATGTCAAATATAAAATGCACTTAGTAAATGCCAATTTTGTTAAGTTTGGATTCAATGTAACAAAGTGTATTCAGTTGCTCAGCACCTATATTAGCTATCTATCCTCCGCTTAAGTGAACCATGCGAGCTACCAAGTAAGTTCCACATCTAGCGTAAAAACTGCAGGAATGCAAAAAAAAAAATGACTGGACATAATATACTCATACACTTTCAACATCCCGCACTAAAGGGTCCAGCAGACTACCTAAAATACGCGGAGCAGCTACTTTTTTTTTTCAATGGTTTATTTGACACAGGTCAAAGAACTACACCAAAGCTTCCAGGGACCACACTTAGGGTCCTGGAGGATCGCACATCTAGGAGGCCTGGGAAGAAGTCACACCCAACTGGGAACAGGCTGCTCCAGACTGGGATGCCCCATTGGCTGGCGAAGTTGCCCCTGAGGTGTTCTCTGAAGATGGGGGGCCTGAATACCGGTGGCGGGAGACCCATCCAGAACAGGCTTCAGTCGTGCAAGGATTTTCTGTCCAATGGCCAGCATGGAGTCGACGACCAGGAGGTCCACGAAATGCCTTTTGGTTCGCTCGTCTTGAAAGTATTGCAGGGTCATGGTCGCTAAGAAAAAGAAATGACAAAACTGAATTCACAATGATTATGACCAGGGGCGGATCCAGCCATTTGACGGGGGGGGGGGGGGGGATGCCTGACATAACACAGGGGAGGAGGGTGTGGTCATGACCTTTCGTTTTTACGAGCAGAAAAACCCTTTCACCTCAGAAACACTGTTAACGTGTGCTCAAGGTGGTTTCACTCATTTGTCCTAATTGGTGATAGAAGGAGGCCTACAAGCACTGAAGTGAGGGAGGGGATGCTGACACAGACTTTGGGGTGGAGGAGGGCAATTGCCCCTATCTCCCCCTTTTTTGGATCCATCACTGGTTATGACTAGGAGAACCAAAGATATAAGAACAAAATAGAGTTTTCTATGTCATGTCACTTTATCATGAGCAGCGATCAATGGCTCTCAACGGATCAACACATGTGGTCTCCAACATTGTAAATGACTGCCGTGGGGAATCTGCACCTATTCTTCAGTTTTTTGCTGTTTGCTCTTTAATTAAAACTTGACTTCCTGCTTCTCTTCAGAGTCCCTTTAAAGGGTCAAGCTGCATTTCTGTAGCAGATGCAATTAGTTTATCACAGTGAAACATCTTACCGGCATCTGCCTGGGTCTTGTCCGTGTTTAGGATCAGTGTCTGAAGTGGCGTAGTACCCTCCAGATGCTGTGAGAGCCTTGCCGTGTCAGCCCCTGACAGGCTGTATACCTTACTGCTGACTGTGGTGCCGGTGGCCTGCAGAGAAGGCTTTTCCTTTAGTATTTGTTCCTTCATCACACAATGTTGCATACACTAATGCACATCTAGATGATGTACATATTGAAGAGGCTCTGTGATGCCTCTAAAGCTTTTCTTTCAATGGGCAACGTAGAAAATCGATGCAAAACTAACTCCTCTATTTTATAATTTATTTATTAGTGACACATTATTTATATCATTGTTAAATCTGCACGTAAAAAAGTCTGTTGAAGCATGTAAGATACCAAATGCCTTCTTAAAACAACATGCAGGGTGGTGTACATGATATTTGTGTGTATAATGGACTAGGTCACTGAAGGAAGATATGTTGCCCAAGGATTAGAAGATTGCTCAAATTGAACTCCTTTACAAAGCAGGTGAAAAAATCCAAATAAAAACCAAGTCTGTTAACCTCAATGCTTAGATGCTCAATATCTTAGAGCACATAATTCATAAACACATTGCTATGATTTTTGAGGAACACGAAAGTACTAACATGGCCAGATGCCATTTTTATTGTTAAAAAAACTTCGATAAAGTTTCATATAAAACAAAGCTTTCTAAGTTGAAATAGAACTCAAAATTGATATATATATATATATATATATATATATATATATATGAGTGTACCTTCATATCAGACAATTCATTTCACTCACTGACACCTACTCTGGTAAACTTGCTGTTGATTCTGGAGTTTCTCTTTCATGAATGACATTGTCACTGACCTCTTTGTAAAACTTTGTGCTGAATTTGTGTTATACATGACAGTATCATGAGTTAAAAGCAAAGGTATCACTGAAAGTAAATAATAACACTAAAAAATTCTTTGCTTTCTGTGCTGCACTAATAACGTGTTTTTTCTTATGCGATTCTTAAAGAGAAAAGAACAGAAAAGTGAGCCCCGTAACTGTCTGCATCAGCATGCGACATTTCAACAGTAGCTCACGAGGGATGGGGGTGAGGAGGGAATAAAAGGATAGGATTAAAAGGTAAATTGATAGGGAGAGGAAGGAGTCAGCGAGGTGCAGGAACAGCAAACGACAGATAATGAGGGAAGTAAAAAGGAGATAGGAAAGATGGACACGGTTGCAGGAGTCTGAGGACGGAGCACCACTCGACGAGAGCTCTTGTCGGCGTCAGGAGACGGCGTAGGGGGAGCCCAGTCGGCCAGAGCTGCGCTGTTGTCGGAAATCGCGGGGGCACAACCGGTCGGCACAAAATTCAGCAAGCGAGTGATAATATCGCTGCCACAAAAGTTGCAGATTACACACAACTTGGATTATAGATAACTAATCATCTAACCCAGAATAAAGACATTGACATAATAAATGGGCAACTTTCTTCGTAAACTTTATTCTAAACAATTCTTAAACTATTCTACACAATCTGTACGTATGCCTGCATATAAGAAAATAAATCATCCAGTGTTAGAACATGCTGTAATAATGTGGGATGCACTTATGAAATGCACTGCTAATCAACTGAAGAAAGTGTAAAAAAAAGCAAGAGGTGGTCTACAAATCGTTGTGAATAGAAACAGCGTTTGCCAACCCACTTTTTTGTTTCAATTAGTACATGGCCATTTAAACACGTATTCTTCAGTACACTTGTAGTAATGCCATTCGCAAGCATTAGAGTAAAATGGTGTCTCTAATTTCACAGATTATTAGCAGATAATAATTTTTCCACAAAAATATTATCGATTGGATAATCTTGCAAATGATGTCGTATTACATACCTCACCCACATTGTTCGAAAGCTGCCTCATTTGAACCCTCATTTGGTATTGTATTGTATACTTCACTTTATTGTAATTATTATGCAATTAGGTTGCAGAAGTTTAATGTAACAACCCTTTTAAATTATACTGTTGCATACCACATTGCAGTTAACGTATTAATGCATTGCACTTTGATTGTATTCATGCATGAATTGTTATCAACCTTTCCTCACCCATGGTGATCTTTCGAAATTGCAGTAATTATAAATAAAATTTTCGGAGATTCCAGTATTTAGTATTTTAATAACATGCACACACAAATAGCCACATAACATGTGAGAAGTATCTGGCAGATGGTGGGTGGGAAAGTGCTTATCTGCGATTATTTAGAGTGAAGGCTGTGCAAAATGACCATAGTGCTGCAAGATCTACTTTTATAGCCGGTTACAGCCTAAAAATAAATATAAACTCCACTGTAGCAGTCACCGACCCACCCAGACAGAATTCGCATAAATGTCTTCCTGAATTACAGTCCGCTATTTATGTGGCGTCGGGCAGTATTCACGGATTTTTTTTGGGCGTATCACTTGGCCATACAGGCCAGTGTTTATTTTGCTAGTTTTCCATTGAAAAATTTCACTTGAAAATTTCATAAAAAATTTCGACATCACTGCTATGCGAGACATAACGTTTTACCAAGGAACATCAAACTTTTAATTTATAATGTGCGTAGTATTCGCATTACCAGCAAAAATGTGCTTATGGTTAGAACGAAAATCGCCACTCATTGCTCTGTTGCACAGATGACAGTTGTGCCGAAGTACTGGGGGCAGAGCGTGTATTTCATTCTTAGGTAGTAACCGACTACAGAAATGCAGTAGACACTACTAACCAAGAAAATAAGTTCAGTTTAAGAGAAGTTCTATTTACCGAGAGATGAACAGGCGGGTGGAACTCAAACACGAAATCAATCACACTAGAATTATGCAGTTCTATTTAAGCAGCAGCTCCGTTTGACATATTTTGTTTAACTGTGAGTCTACCGTAATTTTTTTTACTCTGGTTTGGGCACTGTTGTAAGTACTGTGCAATGGCAATATATTGCTAGGGAACTGGCTGAGTGACTCAGCGTGTAGCCTCTGAGCACAAAGAAATGGGGAGTTTGTGATTAACTGTTTTTTGTACTACGTGCTACACATCTGCATGTTTAACAAGTCAGTTTCTCAAATTGACGCACATCTTTTCATTTTACTCGTGGTGGTAATGATAATTACTATGCTACTATAATTACGGTGCTACCACTGCTCTAGAAGGAACAGGCAACTCTGTATTACCATCTTTGTTGCTCAGGTGCGTGAAGCTCCGGCACAGAGAGTACTGTGCAACTTAATGCTTAAGTGAAATTAAGTCGCAACCTCGTGAAACTCGGTCGTGAGCAGCTTATTTTGTATTGCGATTGTTATACGCCGAGCGTCACAGATTGCGTGCCTCGACTTGATGCAGCACTTGCTGTATTTAACTGCACATTCTTAATTCTATGCAATATGCAAATAAAAAGGTAGGAGCATGCAAAGTGTAAGTGAGCCCTTTGATCAAGGTTCCACTGTTTTCATCACATCTGACATATACAGTACTTACCTTGCATCCAACAGCCGACACAATTTGGTCGGTCCACAATCCATCAAAGGATAGCTCTTTTGTGATTTCGATCAGCAAACTGTAGAGAGACTTCTGTAAGTAACTGCAAACACATCAAACAGCAGCACAACCATACCCAAAATTACCCTCACCTTCTAAGAGCTAACTTTTTTTAATGCTCACACCAGCTGCCACACTTGCTCTGGCATGTTTGTGATGTAACTGAAAAATATGAGAATACATTTGCAATGGCACTGGGAACCTCTCGCATTTTATTTCTAAGCCTGATAATGAAACATAATAATTTCTGCTTTTTATCACAATTTCAATTCTACTATTTTTTTTTCAGAACCAACTACTTCACAAGTACGCAAAGCTGGTCCAATTGTTCGACAGAGTAGGAAAAAAAAATGTTTATGTAAGCTGTTGTTCTGCCTAGAGTTGTATCGCCGTGCTAGACGTAGCTTGGAAAAGCACTTAGCTCCAGAATTCAATTATATTTACCGGATAATCTTATTATTGCTTCTTTCAAACAGACTCTTCAGAGTGCAGTAATCGAGCTCTGCATGCGTGTACTGAAAGGTGCAGCGGTGCAAGACGAATTGCTAATTTCCTCACCAGGTCGAAGTACAGTTAATGGTCCGTACAGAAAACAATTTAATAAAGTTATGGATGAAGTTAAAGGGGATAGATTGTTACTGTGCTTGCTTGGCAACCATTACATATGCACTTCAGTATCAAGCAGACATAGAAGACTATTGCGAGTAACATAATATCTTCGAATATGATATGCTTATTTACGCCCCCGGAAAATCTATGCCCCTCTCTAGATGATGAAGTTTTGCAATATTCACAGGTCTTTTATAGTCCCATGAGACAATAGTTAAGAATTGTGTCGAAGCCGCAGAACTCTATAGCCATTGCTTATCGTTCATTAGCCCTTTCTCATGAAACGTGCATGTTGTACTGGGGAATGCTTTGCGCTGTTAAAGCAACGAATCGATACTTTTTCTATGAACTGCTACAGCTAGTCTGCTTCACAGCATGACACTTTTTTTTTCTTCGCATTACACTTCGCAGTGGAGGTGGTTACGAAAACGAATTCCTTATGTTTGAGCTAAAGGAATACATGTTGCTTGCGTGTTCCCTATTATGACCACAATGTCTATTTTTTATAGAGGAGGTCACGATTCTGACATGCGACTGGCTTTTTTGCTCGATCATTACAAGCTCACCATCAACTAGTCAATAGACTAACTCAGCTCAATATCGCAGTTTGTATCTCTACACCTTAGAACTCTTCTAAGGGAAATGCGTTCGACCTACTAGAGATTGCAATTGAAATCGGTCGACCAGATAAAGTAACAACACTGAGCACCAATCGGTATGGTGCCGGCAGTGGACACCTGTTGGTGGAACAATGCAACTTCAATTGCCGGTTTCCAGGGCGCTACTCTGACAACCAGTGTTACGTGGCATGGCCTTGGAGATGGCGCGCGTGCGGCGTGTTTCTCTACGGCCGTCCCAATCGCATCGAGAGAGCGTGTTTACAGAAGTTGGCGTGGCCCGCTCTTTTCTCCGCACCACGGCCATTCGACAGAGAATAGAAAAGGCTGCCACGCAGTTGGCCCAGCTTGCATGTGGTGAGAAAAAAATGGTCACGCATTTTATATAACCTCGCGCTCATTCGGAAATTCTGGGACGTATATATTCTCAATTGGCTTTTTTTTTTTTGCTGTAGATTTTCCCCACCGATATAAGGAAACTTATGATTGCGATGCCTTGCAAGAGATCTAAATGTGCTGGAAACTTACCATATTTCGAAGTTTGCGGGCTGTATAGTTTTTTCGTGGTTTTCGAATGTTGTTGTTAATCCTGAATCCTTGCGATTCCAGCCGATGTAGAACCACGACACAATGCTTAAGTGGTGTAAGAGAATGAGTTTGTGCGGCAGATTCTACTGAAACTGCAGCTTGATGCGTGGCATCTGAATCACCAGGACTTGGCTGTGTCGGGGTTGTTAGACGACTTGCCAAATTGTCTGTAGGAACAACTGATGTGCAAATGTCTTCGCGGCAGAAATCTTGACTGGCTTCTACCTCATGTCCTTCTTTTGGTGTCATTGTTGGTGTCAAAATTTGATGAACAGAGATTGAACAGTGTCGCTCTGATTTACGCCTTTTCTTAGGCTGCGGGCATATGCTAAAAACACTGGGTACAGCATCTGGTTTGAGTCGTCGCCGCTTAGGTGTGGAAGACGAGAAATCAGAATCAAGAAAGTGCAGAGCGCAGACTACACTGCTGTTCGAATTTTCATTCGGAACGAAATCCTTCCTCGGTATGGCCTTCAACCATGCCTGCCGGTACGTCTCATTTGCAGGAAATTCATGGAAACTGATCCCAAGCTTCTTTTTCCTATCTGACGTGCACAAGGGTACGCAGCAGTAGGACATACTTCTGAAATTAAAGAGAAGAAACAACACCTCATGTCACTTTCTCTAACAAAAAAACGACAACAACAAAAACCTGCATTGACACAGCTTCAGATGTACAGCCTTAACTAGTCCGCAAGTTAGTTAATTAAATCACTACTACTGGGGGGATTCGCTTGGTGGATTTCAAGCTGGACGGTTGTGCCCTCGCGATCTCCGACGCCAGCGTAGCTCCCGCCGACTGGTTCGCCCTCCGCGGTCTCCTGACGCCGTGCAGCTCTCGCATTGTGGCGCCCCGCCCTTGGACTGCTTCGACCGGATCCCCACTTTCCTATCTCCTTCTTTTTTCCGTCGCTTACCTGTCTATTTCTTCATCTATTTTCCTTTATTCTTTTTATCCCTCCTTGCCCCCACCCCTATAAGGCACTGCGCCGTGTCGCCTATAGGCAGACAGAAATTAGGTGCCTTCTTCCTTTCCTTACAACCACTACCACCATCTACTACTGGATCAAAAATTCATTTCCAATTCCTTCCACGCAGGAAATTCCCTCTCCGTTTACGCAGAACGCCAGCGACACATGCAGGCAAGCTAACCAATCACACCAGCATGAGCGTGTTACAAATAGATAAGGTGACCCCTTATCTCTTTGTAACACGCTCATCGCACGCACGCACAAGAGGAACGCTTGCGTAGACGGCCAAACTCGGCACTCCGCATCAGCAATCGTCATGCTCTCTCCTATCGATGTCACCGGCGCCGTCAAGTCTGGCGCGAAAGCTGCTCTTCGCACTCGCTCGCGAGGCTTCCCCAGCACTGTTTCCCTTTCCTCCTACCTCCCGTCGAGCCGCAGAAGCAGGAGAAGGGAAGGATGGTTCAGGCGATCGCCAAATGCGTTGACCACGACCTCCTCTATAAACTTCATAGACGAGGTCGTGGTCTAGACATCTAGGCCGCGGTGTAAGATAGGACTTGACTGAACGCCGCCGGTTATGCGACGACCACGGGCTGGTTACAGGCGCGTTTTGGTCACCTATGGTCGCCCATTCCCACTGTAAATTTTACAGGTGCTCAGTGAATGCGTTGGGCTATGTAGGAACGACCGTCGAAATATTTTGCTTGGTCAAGAAGAACGCACAACGAGTTCGAGAGTTTGCTGTACCTGGTATAAACACGTGCTGCGCGCAGCAATAGCAGTGACAATTCGCGCACTTTTTCTCCAGTAGTCTACCCCAAAGAATACTTAGTTTTCTTCAGAAAGACGCCGTTCTCCTGAATGTGCGACCCTTTGACTTGAATGTACTCGAGGGTACAGTAAATTAACACTATACTGTCATTGTAATTGTGCTACTAACACATTATCCAAATATGACGAAAAAGGATACGATGACAACTAGGGCACCTGCGAAAGACGCGGAAATAAGTGTAGGTTGGCTAGTCTAGGCCTCCTATACTCGGCATGGTTACAATATTCCGGCAAAATTACTTATCACCTTCTTTCAGTGACATGACCAGGGCACTCGGTTATCTAGAGCGTAACGGTGCTTCGGATGACCACCTCATATAAATATCCGTACGCGATAAAATAGTAAAACAATGTGTCACGATAGAAGAACAATATGATTCAGTAACTTTCACCCTTACAGGTCTCCAGAAAGGAGGAATGCTAAAATGCCTCTATATATCTCAAATCGAAGTATCTAGCGCTGAAACAGAACGAACCATAATGGGGGAAAAAAAAGTAATGCCACAGACGAACAGACACATCCAGTTGCCATGCTTTCTTTCGTAAATGAGACCAAAACATATGCAGTAGCATATATAAAAAAAAAACTTGCCTTCAGTGCTGACAGAGGGTTCTGGCAATGGTCCTTGCTCGTACGCGGAGGGGAAAAAAACAAAATAAGAAAAAACACGCGCACGTTCGAGTCCCGCGCGCTCCGCCGTTGCGACAGAGGCGGACGTCGAAATAGCAGTTACGATAGCCAGAGTAAGCAAACGTCTAGTCAAGTCAAGCCGTTTTTTTTTTTCATTCCTATAAAAATAAACATTTTTGATCTCAAATGTGGCAAGACAGTTTGCTAAACGCGCAGAAAATTTAACACGTCATCCAAAGCGGATTATGCGATTAAGACGATACATTTTTGCTGAACACGTGTAGCTAGCGGTTTCAGTCGGCGATAGCACGATAGCCAGCCAACATCTCATGCGTCGTTGCGCGATAAGCTGAAAGGAAATTGCCTAAATTCCGATCGATTACGCGTACTTCGTCTCAGCGTAAAAAGTGCGTTGCTGACAGCGCAGAGACCCGTAAAAAAAAAGGACGTCCAATCCCCAAGAGACACGAGTTTTAACATCCAGCCGTCGCCTCGGAGCCTCATTTTTCCCGGCCATCTAGCGTAGCCAAGCGAAAGCTGCCAGCAGACGTAAAAATCATGTAATTTTGGAGGTCTCCCGCAAGCATCTCATCCCCGAACGGTCAAAATGCGGGCATTCCTATTAACTCTGGGTAGTGTAGTTCTAACTACCGCAGTCATCGGCAATGCGTACTACCAGAAGAAACAGTTCTACCCTTCCGTGGTCTATTTAACCAAGTCAAACCCCAGCATGGCGGTGAGTGTTGAACCCACGTAAGCCTTTGCACGATTTTGTTTTCGCTTCTGTGGTCTGCCAAAAAGTCAACAGGTTGGCACGCGACCTAGGAAAAAGAAAAAAAAAAATCTCGCGTCTGTCTTGCTTGTTGGGTCACTCGGAAGTAGAGCCCTGAGGACTGCGCGCGAGCGCATCCAGTGTTATTTACGCCAGCTGTTTCTGTGCACGGTTGACGACTTGTTTATAGATGTGTCTCCGACGCCGCATACGTCCTCACTGACGTAGGGACCGCTGAGAAAAGTCCAGAAAACGTCTCGGATGTTTGACTACGCGATGTAACGTTCAACGACTTTTTCCCGATCGTTTCTTAAGGGTCCAGCGGCCGTCGCTTTGCGGCCGTCAAGTAGGAGACAAGTAGGTCAGCTGTTGACCGGTGCGGCGGCGTCCGCGTCGGTTGCTTCTTAGTTTTGCTGGTGTCGAATGAAGAAAACGTGCTGCACGGAAAAACCTGTTGCTGCTACGGCAAATGAACCAGCCCGGGCGAGCAGTTTCGTCCCGTGGCACAACTAATCTTTACCGCAATCGGTCGTTTAGTTGCGTGCACTAGTGGACATTTTCGGTTTCGAGATATGCGTTCGGACCCTGTTGCTTTGAAGAGAGAGCGTCGTACGAACAGCAAAGCGGGGCCCGATTCTTTCGAACGCAGCTCCCACAAAACTTTGAATAGAAACTCTCGGGCACGCCTATCCATTTGTATGAAATATGTCGTTTCAAGGTTAATAGTCAGTCCCGCAGCACTGTATTTCCATACAAGTACGTTAATTGCCAATGCAGTACTTTAATTTAAGACTTTTTTTCTTTTGGATGCTGTAAGATGCATGTGACATACAGAGAAGTTGTGATGCAGTGACAATCTTCAAGCTTGACGTCAGATCAAAGCTGTCACATCGTCCATTCTAAAGCTAGGCATTGACATTTTATTTATGCGCAGGCTTTCAATTTCTCTTCGAAGGCACTGTTATATTGGCGTTTTGCTTTCACTGTGGTTTTATGTGCGACAACCCACACACTTCTTTACAACCTTGGCAGTATTAGCAGCCGTGTACTAGACATCAAGAGTAACTTTACATATCTCAGCTATACTACAAAGGCTTGGTGTTGCAGTTACTATACCTAACCAGTTCGAATGCAACACACCTTAAACAGTGTTCGGGTAATCTGGAACTACGGTCACTGGCTGTCTGTCATTCCTTGGACAGATGGCTGTGACACCGTGTGTGTCTGGGTGCTTTGGTGTTTTTACGTAAAGGGCTGGCCCGCATGTAAAGCAGAACGGTGCACTACTGGAGAGGGAGTGCACCCTTCACAGTGGTCCGGTGATAACCGTGCCCGACCGCTGACCCTGAAGGTCACGGTATCGAATCTCAACCGCACTTTGATGGAAGTTAAATGCTAGAGGCTTCTGCATACTAGATTTCAAAACACATCTTGAAGAACAACAGATGGTGGAAGTTTCCAGAACCCTTCACAACAGCAGCCCACGTAATCATATTGTGGTTTTAGGACATAGAACCCCGACAATTAACACAGAACACACAAGCACACACATACCCTTTGATCAAGTTAACTATAGAGTTCAAACACCCGAAGTAAGACTCAAGCAGTGAGCAGTGCTGTAACGTGAGGTACAGTAATTAGCTCTCACCACCTGGCGTTCTTTTCGCATTGGCCTAAATTAAAGTACGCGATTGTTTCTTGCACTCCTCTCCTGCTGGATTGCAGTATCTTTGAGTTGAATATGTGTCCTTCCTCTTAGCTGCAGAACTTGATACACTATTTGCTCTATGTGAACCTTCACAGCCATCAGCGTGATGGTAATCTTTTTGTTCAAGGACACGCAGCCATTTGAGCAGTAGCAGCATGCTTTTTTTTTTTTCTCATAACCTGAGCTGTATTAAGAAAGGCATTCTTTCCAAGATGCCTCAGTCCCAACTTCTGTAGCGGAACTGTAGTTTGAGTGAACTGGTCAAAGTTTCATGCAAAAAAGAATAATGTTGATTGTAAAAATAAACTTTAACAGACGCTCATATTTTGTTCTGCATAGTTTCTGTGATATCCACATGTTATTACTTCATTAATTTTATTCTATGCTACTCAATCTGTGAAACTAATAAAGTTTTCATTTTAGTGTTTTATACCAAAGCAAAAACTATTTAAAGTACCTCTAATCCCACTGGCATTGTATGTTTATACAAAAATAGTGTGCACATGTCAGCATAAGTAATTAAATTAGTGAACTTGCTTTTGCAACAATTTGTAGGTCAATGCAAATGTTATGTACAGCATGCAGTTTCCTTGCTTGACTTGACAAGCTATCCAGCACACAAAACTGCTCACCGCTTTCTTTGAAAGCCATACCAAATTACATGGTTCACATTTTTTTGGGCGGGGGGGGGGGGGGGAGGGCATTATAATTCAATTTTTTAAGATTGTTTGCCTAGAAAACTGTGTTTTTTTCTTCAAAAATTAGACTTCATCATTTTATTCAATATTCAATGGTAATCTTAACATTACATGATTCATTCTGGCACGTGATTGGTGATGGTTATTGGCTCTCGCTCAGGCGTGTCATCGCTAATATCTGCAATATTGTTTTAGACATGCAAAGACGTTTCGAAGTAAAAGTAGTTTATGAATGTATACCATGAAATCCTGAGCCAGCCCCTTCTCCCGGTACACACACACACACACACTGTGAAGGATAATCCGACAAGATTTGGAGAGGGGTGGGGGCTGGCTCGGTTGCAAATCAAAATTCAAAATGGCAGCAGAAGAGCCGCTAAAAGTAAAGAATGCACACCCGTTCTTCTAATTCAATGCTTTGTTAAATACTCATGCATATGCTGTTTTCATTCACCCTCGTCAAGCAAATAAAAACGGCGAATGAAACAGTGAAAATGGTGGGACTAGAGAAGGGGTTGGTAGTCCGAAGCATTAGTCCGAAGGTAGTCATAAGATACAACATAGCAAGGCATAAGAGACCCTCCCAAGATGGCTGAATTCTTGCAGCATATTGCCTCCATTACCAAACGACTTAGTCTCACTTTTTACTTGGCGATGTTCCTTGACAGTGGGGTCATTATGCGTGTATCTGATGATGATAGTCTAGATGTGCCCTCATTGATACAGGCTTGCATGCATCCTGCCTTTGAGATGAAAATGCTGTTGCCTTAAAAAATTGTGCCCATCTAAAGGTTGTTAGCTTCTTCATAGTGCTGATCCCGTCTTGCTTTCTTTGCAGATAATTTACCTCCAAGCATTCGTGTTCGTAATTCTCATGGGAAAGTTAATGCGAAAAGTATTCTTCGGGCAGCTGCGAGCGGCCGAAATGGAGGTGAGTGCATTGACCCGTCTTTCCAGAGTTTTCGCACTGAGCAAAGCTCTTTGGTGAGAATGTCGCCTGAATTCGCCATGTGTCCCATTGCAGCACCTCATTGAAAGGTCGTGGTACGCCGTCACGGAGACGTGCCTGGCGTTCACCGTCTTTAGAGATGACTTTAGCCCCAAATTTGTGGCACTATTCACGCTCCTTGCTCTTCCTAAAGTGTTTCCATTGGTTGGCTGAGGACAGAGTCGACTACGTAAGTCAGCCTTTTAATGGTCCTAAAGCTCTCACTGTTGACCTCTTTCATTAAGAGGTAAACTTGATGAAAAGCCTTGCATCTAAGCCCGACTGGTGCTTCCTCCTTCCAGATGGAGAGAAGTCCTGTCATATCCTATCTCTTCCATGTAAGAGTTATTGGTAAGTAGGAGGTCAAACGATGTTTCAGTTGAAGCTTCTAGCTCTTGATCAGCTTGTGTTAATTCTTAATTAAGTACTTGTTCGAGTAGGTGCGCTGCTATCTTTAAAGACAAAGGTTGTGCTAACATGTGCCATCAGCATTCTGAATCTTTCTTCCGCAACAGCCTTGCTCTTACTCCTGGGTTTCCTGGACTATGCATTTGTCGCCCACGCATACCACACCACTCTCACCAAAGGGGCATCTGTGCAGGTCGTCTTTGGCTTCGAGGTAAGCTGCTGAGTTACGTGTGAGAAGCTTTTGCCAGCACTGTTTGACATTTGAGCAACCTTTGAGGAGCATTGTTGTGGGCTGATGGCCAATGCAGCTGTTATAGATTGCTGTACATAGTAATGCAATAAGTAGTAGAATCGAAATTTGCTTTCGTGGGTTTGCTGGTAAAATGCAGAAAAGTGAAAGCAATGGATGTGATAAAAGTTTAATGTATCTATAGGTTTTTTACATACTTGATGTGTCCATCCATATGGACACATAATGATGGACACTTGATGTGTCCATCTGCGTGCATTGCTAAAACAATAGTATCTTGTTGCCACAGCAAAACAAAGTCTCACTAAAACTAAAGTAGTACTTGGCCCTAAAGGAGATAACTAATGCTTTGATTGTTGTGGCTATTTGACACTGTGTTAGTATTAAGTTCATTGGAACTTTCTGTTGTCATATTTGCTACCAAGCCAAACAGCTTTGATTTGCGCAGAAGTGCTGTTACTTGTTGCAAAGAACACAGAGTGCCTTAATGTAACGTTGTAGTGATTCGACACACTTACAGACAGTTCTTCGTATGTGGCATTTGAAATGGTTAACCTGTCTGAAATTTCGTTTCAGTACGCCATCCTCCTGAGCATAGTGGCCAATATCTACGTCAAGTACTTCCTGCACACGATGGACCTGCACAGCGAGAACCCTTGGGAGAACAAGGCTGTTTACTTGCTGTACACGGAGCTCATCATCAGTAAGTGCTTGCACGGGCAAACTGCCTTCTTACAGCTATGAACCAACTCGCCTAAATCAGTCTCTCTTTGTTATTAGGTTTGACCGTTTTTCCGTACACTCAAACGAAAATAACTGTTATAACCAAAAATTTATTAGAAAAGTTTATTTCTAGCACTACATTTATTGTAGGACTATTCCTAATTTTCTTTGTTGTAACCGATATTTCATTATATATAAGTTTTTTTATATTGTTTCGAGTGTATAGCTGAACAGCATACTATTTATTAAGTTTGACCATTAGTAATTTGTGCTTGATGAGATGCGCACTTGGATTTCAAGAATTTTAGAGTCAATGTTGGAGAGTTTAGCCGTTTCTCCTGGAAGGAAAGCTAGCGATATGGTACCAAGCACTTGTTTCGAGTAAAAGCACTGAATTTCATTTGCACTTCATTTCATTTCATTTCATTTGCACCGGAATTTTCTGTTGCAACTAAAGACGGATGATTGTTATTCTCAAAGTGTGAATTACATTCAGTTACACTGACCTGCGTAGTAGTTTTTTAATTAAAGTATGTGGTTAGCGTAGGTGTCTTGATGTACTGCTTTTTGTTCAGCCATTTACTGGCAGCAGTACTGGATGAAAGTACCCAAATGATTGCATGCGAATTACCAGTGGTGGTTGTGACCTTCGGATCCATGTTGTTCACTGCTACAACATGTTTCATAGATTTAACGATAATGTCGCTAGCGGCATGCGCTGGGGATTTACAGTGCCCAGAGTAGAAGTGTTGGAACGTGGCAAAGATTGAGCTTGTGTTTCATGTTCTCGCAGGCTTCATCAAGGTGGTGCTCTACTTGACCTTCATGGCAATCATGATTAAGATTCACACATTCCCGCTCTTTGCGATCCGTCCGATGTACCTGAGCATGAGGTAAGATGCTCGTGTGACTATTATACTGAAGCTGTAAAACGCCAAGTAGTTTAAAAATAGCTGTCAACTATTGCAGCTTATGCTGGGTTCGCATTATGATTGCAGTACCTTGCATCATCCTATAAGTTTTATTGCAAGTATAGAACTGCTTTGGCGATAGCTTTTTAAATTTATTTTTCTGAATGCACTGTCATAAAGAGTTAAGTATCCCCATTATTTTTCTAAATGCTTAGCCATCAATCTTCTATATCAGTGTGTTCCTCTTAATTCCATACTTAGACAATCATGTTCTTAGGTTACTTGTTGACTAGCATAATAATTGAGCAAGATTCCATGTCATAATGCCAGTATGCTCATATTACTGCTTCCTGTACAACATGCTGTAGATATCGTAATAAGGAATGAAAGCATTGAATTTGCATTACTAAGCAATTCTGTGTGTGTTTGTACACCTAGGGCTTTCAAGAAGGCCTTCAATGACGTCATTATGTCACGACGAGCAATCCGAAACATGAACACTCTGTAAGTAGTCTCGCACTCCTACGCTTCTTTTTGAACATTCGCAGAATTCTTCCTGTGCCTGCAGTGGTAATTGTAATTATATATGTTTATTTCACCGGTTCTTTCGCTAATTAAAATGACTTAATAGTTAACAAAGATAACTAACTGAACATTATTCTGTAAGGGTTATTGTCTAGATTGAATTTGTACCTTGTAGTTAAAAAGATGATAGACGCCATGGCTGCAACGATTGTGCTTTAGTCTCCCTTCCACTTTCCTTGCAGCAAATTTACACTTGCTATTTCGTTGTGAGCTTTACATGTGGCCTGGTTGTACAAATTCCAACGAAACCGTTAGACAAACATTGTCATCTTAATAGGCATCAATATTCTCCCCCCCCCCCCCCCCCCGCCCAGCAATTTCACTAGAGTGGGATAAGCAGTGAGATAAGTAGTCAATGTTAATACAACAGAATTGTTTGTTGAGCTTTTGATTAAGCTTTCTTCAATATGTAATATTATAGTATGCTATAACATAGTCAGTTACTTCTTGCGTGCATTTTTGAGTTACATATTATATTATGTAATGTGCCCCAGGTATTGCACAAGTTTTATTGCTGTTATGGCTTTTTTGTGATCTTAATTGCAAAGTAAACATATTTGCCTATTGATCATAATGCATTTTACCATATATATGTTAACAATTGTGGCTGGTATTGTCTACCATAAAGGTTGGAGCAAGCACCCCCCATTGAACAACACAAAATTACCGGCAAAGAGGAGGGAGGAGGGTCAGTTATTTTTCTGGGACAGCTCCAAAATTCAATGTGGTGGTGCCAACATATTCCCGCTAGAATAAAAATGGAAACCAAGAAAATTAAACGAACAACAGCTACCAGAAAGCCCATAGACTTTCTCGGAAGACTCGTTACGATGATAAAAAAAATGTCGGAAATGCAAAGGCAACATGACGAGCCATCCATAACCACAGCCATCAAAGCACCTTAGATGATGAGCCCACATTTATGCAACAGCTGTGGGTGTAGATCTCGGAGGCCTTATCTTTTATAAATAATGTGGCTCTGACACCGCCATTGAATCGCAAATAGAGGTCTTGAATGCCTTGTTTTTGCTCACGAGAACCAGAAAATCGTAGAGGGTGTTGTCTGCCCTGTTCTAGGTGCAAATATTGTGTGGGATACAAAAAAAACAACGGCAAACAAACGAATTTTAATGATGAATTTCAGGCGCACGTGCTTCAAAAATGAGCCATGATGCAGTGTGTGATCATGGTGCTGCAAATGGGAGTGGGAAAATGGCAAAGGGGTCACTTTTCCAGAATGGATTGAAAATTAGCAGTGAAATTAGAGGAGGTGTTTCTTTGGGTGGATGTGCTTGCTTAGAAATTCATGATGTGTATAGTGGTGTTCAGGACTCCGATAGTGCCTGCAGTATTTGTAATTAAGTAAATAAAATCGGAAATTGTTTGTCGTCCTGGCATGCCAGTTATCCAGATGCAACGCCTGAGGAGCTGGCCTCGGCCGACAACGTGTGCATCATCTGTCGCGAGGAGATGGTGGGTGGCGGCAACAAGCGGCTACCCTGCAGCCACATCTTCCACACGGCCTGCCTGCGCTCCTGGTTCCAGCGCCAGCAGACATGCCCCACGTGCCGCATGGACGTGCTCAGGCAGCCGACCTGCCGCGGCCGCGGCAGCAGCTGCTAACAACGCGGCGGCCCCACCCCCAGCTGCCGGCCAGGCAGCGCCCCAGGCCCCACCAAATGTGCCTGGGCAGGCCTTTCCACAGTGTGAGTCATGCTTGCTGCCACGGTTTAAAAAGCCCCTAAACCATCTTGGATATTTTTTTCCTCATTTCGCGTAAGTGCATGTCGAGTTTGGAATGCTGCCGCAACAAACAATTGCCAAACATGCCCCTCTTCGGGCATTTCGTTTTCCCCATTGTCGCTCGCGATATTGGTACCCGCATCTAATCATATCGGCGTCTGCCAGAACTTGTTTGCTGTAGTATTAGTGTCTTAAATTGGGCTAGTTGGTGCATACTGAAATTCGAACAATAAAACAGAGTGACAACTAGATAATAACAAGACTTCACAAACACAGCACCGTGTTTATGTCCGTTTATCTTCTTGTTATGTCTGCTTATCTTCTTGTTTCGTTGTTCAAATTCCAGTTTGCACCAGATAAGTGCGAGCTGCTTGCTCTTCCTCCTTGCACATTGAGGAGGTGCACTCTGCGAGGAGGAGAGACCAGCAGATGAATGAAGGCCAAACCACATAAGCGCGAAAATGCACGCGACAGCGACAAGCGACGCGACGTAGATCGTCTTCGCGCGATCAGTCGCTAGCGCAGGCAAACCTCATTCACGCGACGGCTTCGGCGAGCGAACTTCACTGTTGCTGGCATGAGGCCGTCTACTCGCACCAAGAAAACCGCGTAACGAGTGGTATACAATTTAAAAATAAGATATATTGTTGTGTAATGAAACGGAAAGTGTTTATTATTGCCTTGCAGCATTTTTTATATGCACATGCGTAATAAACATTGCGTTATTTCTTGTTGCGCATACGTGACTCGGGCAGGGTCAGGTGTACCTACGTAGTCTTTGTCTTTTCCAGTTTTTGGCTATTGGCTGCTTGAGCCCAGCACTTCCGGGCGATGAGCGACGGTTTTCAAATCGGGAGAACCGAGCGATCGCGCGAAAACGAGCGCGCGAACGCCCTGTTTCGTCGCTCATAGCGTCGCTCGTCGCTGTCGCGTGCATTTTCGCGCTTATGTGGGTTGGCCCTGAAGCATAACAAAGCAAAGAGTGAAACAAGAAGGCCGTGTCTAGGTCTTTTGCCACATGTAACTTGTCAGATCACTCTCCTGTTCTCCTAGTGAAAGTGCCTGTTAAAGGTGAATTGAGTTGTAACGAAAGATGCTAAGCTGCATTCACACTTTCTGAGGATCGTAGGTTGCAGTGTCTCAACAGCATGCTGTGGTGGCTTGGAGGCTGTGATGTGGGACTGCTAAGCACAAGGGTGCCGGTTGAATCCTTTGCCTCATTAGTCACATTTTCATGCGAGTGAAATGTGGCCAATGTGGCAAAAGGTCCACGTATATATTGGATACCTGTGTATGCAGATTTAGGTGCACATTAACAAACCTCAGTTGGTCATAATCAATATGGAGTCTCCTACTCCGGCACTCTTTGGAATTTTTTTGCGATTCTGGCATGCAAAACCCCATACTTCTTTTTTTTTTTTTCTCATGCATCCAAATTTGAAATGATGGCTTGCACTTCAATCTGGTGCCTTCAGTTAAATTGCTTAAAAAAACATACACTAAAAGCTAATTGATTTGAACTTGAAGGGGACTATAAAATTGTTCGAATTTAGTGAGTAGAGTTCTAATTGTCGCATTGGTGGCCGGTAGAAGGAACGGTCATAGCATTGCACTGCTCGTGCATAGCTGAAGGAAGCCATTTCTGGGCTCATTATCGCAACCTTAGTCCTACTATGCGTTTGTGGCATGTGACTTCGCAAGTTAGGATCGTGGACCTCTAACAGCAAACAGAATTTATTGATCAGTCAGTGAGACCCCCAAAAACTAGCACCAACATGCATTCATGTGAGTAGAGAGTGTGTGAATTATGTGCTGCTGTTAATGCTCCAAAACAGGTTTATTTACATGTCGAAGTTAATGCAATTGAAAATAAAAGTAAACAATGACTTGCTTTTTCTGGTGTTTCTTTTGTCGTGACTCCGTGAGGATCATTTGCAGCTTGCCTCAGAGTTGAGTGCAATATCTGAGCTGTCATCTGCTGGAAAATGCTGCTGTTTCCTTATTTTTGCATCTCTAGTAAACTTGATTTGATTTATTTGGTTCTGAAACAAATTGTGATCACTTTGGGTTGACTTCTGCAAGTAACAATGAAAACAAGAGGCTCCCAGTTCGATCTAACCGCTGTGGATACCGATGCATTTGAAGTATTGGTAGTTTGCCCCCATTTAAATACATATAGCTGTGCTGGAACCAGCAGCAAGGAGTTACTATCAGCCTTTCAAATTGGAAAGTTGGGTGATCAGTGTATAAGTGGCATGCCCATACTACTGCCATCTTCTGAGATAAGGTTGTTTCAGAGGTGGGCAGGTTAGGTAGTGCCCATGTATGGGTCTCTTGCATCTATCGCTCGGTTTCATGCATGTAATGAATCGGTTGGAAGCGCCGCCCATGTCGTCGTGTCGTGTCTCTCTTGTTCGTGTGGTTCTTACTAGCAGCAGAATGTCCTCTAGCAAACAATACCAACTGTGCCAGGAACAAATTCTTCTCAGGACGAGGGCTTTAGTCTTAGTTAACTGTAACTTCAAATTAACCTAGTTCAAATTGACAGGATTTTGCATTCTAGTGTGCATTTAAAAGGTAATAACCACTTTTGGTACATAATCTGCAATTCCTATGGCATTCTTTCAGCTTTCAGGAATCCAGTTTTCCACCTCGTAGTGCGGTGCGTAGATACCATTGTTGTAATGGAGGAGGCAGGACCATTCATCTCTTAATCGTGGTGTTGCATGGCTGCCCCCCCCCCCCCCCCTTTCATGCAGGGCCTCCTGGTATGGCGGGTTTCCCACTTTTCCCACCAATTCAGCAGTTGCAGCAGCACTTTATACAGCATCAACAGCAGCACCATCAGCAGCTGCAACAACAACAACAGCAGCAGCAACAGAGGGGCACACAAAATGCTGGTAAGTGTTTTCTCTGTCACCTTGTACCAGGCAGTACCCAGGAATGTTTTTTGGGGAGTGCTTATGTGTAGAACAGACAACTTTGGGAACTAGTAGTTGATGTGAAGGCGCGTAAATAATTCGATATCACCCAAAAAGTTCAAGCATGGGAAAATTTGGGGGCTGTCACAACCCTCCTAGCTCCCCCTTAGTGACAGCCCTGCCTTGCATTATCACACACTTCTAAAGTTCACAGCTTGGCGCAATGCACATTGAGGCAAAAATGATATGCCTGAATCGCAGTTCAACGAATCTGAATGAACCGCCAAGAACCATTCGTCTAATTGAAAAAATCTTTGGAGTAAAAAATTTGAAAATTCATGCTCAAAATCGTAAATAAAACCGAAGTTGCCCCGTGGCTATGCTGGTTACACATCAACAATCCATCATTCTCTAATAACCGCCAAAATAATTGCACACATCTCCCCGTAAACGAAACCTTGAGTAGTATGCAAAGCAGCCGTGGCTTAACTTAATGTTCTGTAAAGAGGTGCTCTTCAATCATCACTGCAGACGTTCATGGTTGCAGCCGCTCTGCTACCTCTCGCCTCTACCGTACCCATGTTCACGTTCTCATTCATACTACTACGCTGTGTGTGTGAGAGAGAGGAGTACGCCTTTTTATTATACAGAGCAGCACAGCACCGCTAGCGGTCTTAACTCGTACCAGAGCACATGTCGTAGTGGAGCGAGCGCTTTGCCGCAGAGCCATCTAGTGGAACTTTTTAGAGTATTAGAGCAGCCAGTAAGCTGCTTCAGCACCTAAAAAAAAGAAAACCACCAACACTTACCCACACCTTGCGTCGGATGTCACTACGTGTTGGGAGACTCCAAGCTGGCCATCCCGCGCACCACACTTTAAAGGGCTCCTCACCAGGTTCGATAATTTTGATGAATAGTGAGGCAAACTGCCTGCACAGAAAACATGGTAAAAATAGGGCGTTATAATTAATTTTTTGAATGACGATAGCACCAATGTCAAGCCGTAATTCTAGAGCACAATGCACTAGAGGCATTCGCTCTATGAAGCATTAAGGCTGTAGCATAAGCCTCTTAGAAGAGCTCATGCCATGATTATTTTTTGGATAGCATGCATGTCTACATTGTTTGGATAAGATAAAACCGATTTCATATGAAAGGGACGTACATTGGACAGAAACAATGACAAATGGAGGGATACTTGTTGTGTATACGTCAATGGTAAATGTTTTTTTTTTTTTTTTTGTAGCTGCATTTTTGCACATTGCAATAAAACATGGAGGGAAGTCAATGGCTGTCCACAATTAGTACAGGCAAGGGGGTTCATCATTGGTCAATAGGAAAGCATTTTGGCCGCTTCCACAGCCTATCCTAAGTCGACAAATATCGCTTCAGTTCATCGTGCTGCTATGGTTGGCAACTAATTCCCCAATTATGGTTTCGCTAAGTGAACCGTATTTGATACTACAGCATCCCACATTGGCTGCCAATAGCTCTTAGTCTTTTGCGCCAAAACGCTTTCATGTTCTGGCAAGCTTGGAGTTGACTCTAAAGGTGATCGTAGGTGTCGTGGACAGTTGTGCCTCAGTAAAATCCATTCCACACCTGTGTGCTTGCTGTGCAGCAGGTGCACCCAGACCATCAGCCAGTGCTTCTGGTCCCCAGCAGCAGCAGCAGTCACAACAGCAGCAGCCGAACGCAACGGAAGCTGGTGGTGCAGCAGGGGTGGCAGCCGGAGCTGCTTTCGTCCTGCCTCCCTTCTTCCCATTGCGTACGTATTCAATACTGGCTAGTGTGGGGGCTCAAGTAGGCATCGCTGTGAAATGAGCGCGCTGTACTCGCAGTTCAGTGCGCGTGCAATTGCCTAGGGGGGCCCTGCAACACCTTTACAACATGGTCTGACAACTCCGTTGATCTATAGTCTAGGCTTCGAGAACATGCAAGCCAAACATTGTGTTGCATCAGTGTGGACTGGAATTTTACAGTTAATTCTCAAAGTCGGCTACAAATTGTTCCCTCTTCTCTGGACAAAGGATGCCGTAAACCCAAATGACCGTGCCATGAATTCCGAGGTTCATGACCGTTGTCTGACTCGAACATCATGAGCTGCATAGTTGCTGTGGCCACCGCGAGATGCCGTCATGTGCCTTTGTGCGCATATTGCAATCGCGCTGAGAGTAAAGTCGTGCGTTTCAAGAAAAAGAAGAAAGAAAAGAAGGTGCTAAAGGTTATGATGCGCTGATCGATGCATCTTAGTAGTCCCCTTTCATGCCACTAGATGCGTAGTAGTTTTAAATGCCCACTAGTTTAAGAGAGATGAAGCACTTCAAGCGTGCTGCAGTCCTTACAACCCTGCTTGTACGTGACATATTCTGTTTTTGCAGCAGTTGATTCTCAAGGCGATAAGCTCTTTTAATGAAGCCATTCGACGATTGCCTGAGAAATCTGTTGCGGGGCCCATTTAAAAGATAGGGCATCACCTTTTGAAGTGATGCTTTGTTTTTGTTTCCAATCAAATCTCCTAGTTCATTATACAGCCTTACTGTACAACTACGGTGTTGCCAAGCCATTTTCATTGTGTGTTGTGGGATCGGTAGTTATGACTGTTAGCGGGGTAGGCTTATTTAGTAATTAATTTTTTTTTATGTAGCTCATAGAAAGTTTTTCTAAAACTTCCCTTCTCAAGGTAGACACTGCACCAATATCTAAAAGCATTTCTAAAAAGGTGGAGACAATACCCCAAATGAGAGCGGAATTACTTTGGAGTGGGTATTCATAGTTTGATCCCTGCTGAATTACAGAAGTGGTGCTTCAGTTTTCAAGAGCGAATGCGAGTAGCATTTTTGGGCAAAAAACAGCTTCTGCCACTGCACGCCTATTTAAGATGCTGAGTGAATGTGATGTATTCGGCACAACACGTAATCTGCAACAACACCACTGTTGAAGCGTGACCTTTGAGATTTGCTGCGGCAGCGATGCAGATGGAGCTACTCACTGAGGCCACAGTTGAATATATGAGGCGCTTGTTCAGATCACGCTTGGCTGTTTGTCACTATGGCAGATATTGTAATTTAGCTGCAGAACTGCAGCTCAGGCGCATAAATGGGGCTCTCCCAGTCCGTTTGGATCAATGAAGAACGGGAAACTTTCCACCAAATTTTGCGTGATGGCACGTTGCAGCATAGCTATTTTGATGCTTTTAATAAACGGGGATCTCTGATGTTGGGGAAGAAAAACACAGCTGAGGATCGCACAGCACTATTAGGTTAGTCAAGTCAGAGTTCACTATAATGAAAATTTTTACAAAGTAATAAATTTTTGGATTGTTACTGTGCTGCAACAAATTTAAGGTAAATGGAACATATTTTTGTCTCTGATGCAATTTTCTTCACCGATGCTTGATAGTAAGTGTAGACTCAAACCTTGATTTAACGAACCGGTATATAAAGAAATAATAGTTTTAATGAAGTAAATAAAGAATAGTCTTGCAATAAATATAGTGTTGGGAATACACCTTTATAACAAATTTTAGGATGTAACAAACTTAGTTTTGTGTAAGATGCAACTTTGTTATAACTTAGTTTGCTTGTAAAAACATTTGTACTGCACTGAACTTTTAGAGGCTGTGTGGCGATGTTTCTTGCCATGTTAATGTTTCTTCATTTACGACCATTTCTCGTGTTCTTGTCTGTTGGGTGCAGTGATGCCGCCGCCACCTCCGATTCCCCCGGAAGGCCTGGAGGCCTTGTCTGCTGAGGAGCTGAGCTCCATGGAAGGGCAGGAGCGTGAGCAAATAGCGGCCCGCATCCGCGTCTTGCGCAACATCCAGACGCTGCTTGACTGCAGGCTGTGTTGCAGCTGCAGCAGTACAGCGCTGTTGTGGCCAGGTGAGTGAAGTGTGCGTGTGACTCCCAGCTTTGTCACTTGAGATGTTTTACTTCGTTCTGTGGAATCTGTGCAGCGAAAATTTTCAGTCATATCGGCTAACCTGAAAAAAAAAAAAAAAAAACTTCAAGTACAGTAGAGAGAACTTTTAAGTATAAAAGAGACATTAAGTAGAGCCCTATTATTCGCCCCCTGATGGCACTTTACGTATGATGCCACCCAAACGAGCTTCGAGAAGATGTCAAGGCAAAAGCCTTTAATGTCTCATACTTGGTGAAAATGTGTTATCACTGTGGAAACCTTGACAGTGCATTTGTGAAGTCTGAAATATCCATCAAATCCAAACTTTAGAAGTTCGAAAAATTCATTGGCGATGGCATATTAAATTGTGGCTTGACTGGAATTTAACTACAGTGTTTTGATTTGTGCTACGATTTCTTGTTTCTTGTCTTCACATGCTCTGGTATTAGTTGAATCTTGCTGTAACTGAATACCGCTACAACTGAAGTTTCCATCACAATGAATAATTTTCGATTCCCTGTCAGCCGCCCATATAAAAACAATGCCCAAAATGTCTTGTCACAACAAATACTTTTGAGCATTTCTGCTTTAACGAAGTTCTTACGAGAGCTGCCATTTGAGGACAAAAAGCTTGCCTGGGATTGCTGCGAAGGTTCACTAACAAGCAACTCGACAATATCTTGTTGCAAGGGCCATCTGGCTGCATTGCAATACCTGTGTTATCATTGGAGATGTGCTTTCTGCCACCACACTCACATCCAACTGAATTTTTTGCCACCGAGATGATCGGCACTAGCTCGTCCATCCACCGTGATGCTGCCAGTGTGTATGATACACGTGCAGGTTGCAGCTGTATCGTTCGTTGAACACTCTTACCATGTTTTTGACGTAGCGCTCAAAACACAACGGTTGCTCGTCGTCACTAGGCCGGCAATCGTGAATGTCGGTAAAGATTTTATGAAGGTGCATGCGCAGCCAGTGCACACAGTCCAAGCGTAGCTACATTCTGTACAATGAGCCGTTGCGAACGCAAGAGCAATGTGAAGGGATCATGTGCGACCATGAAAGTATGCGCACTGACTCAAAGCAGTGCCGTGAACAAAATCGCGGGAGATGCAATCACAGATACCAACTGCGCTGTTCTGAGAGCATGCGTGTGGCCAGCACCAAAAACGAAACTACCGTTTGCCATAACCCATGGAGCAAATACTTTTTTTTTTCTCTGTGCAGGAAATCGCGGTTTCTATTGGTGCAACCATAAATACTGAATTAGCTTCAAAACACGCAGTTAACACACTGGAAGATTAAATGCAACAAAGTTGTAAAATGGCATAACTGTTTTGTCTTTCCTGTTCCTTGCTTACGACTGTAGAAGAGCAGAGCTTCGGCACCTAGTTTTCAGTTGGCCTCTAGCGAAGGTTTGGCGCCCTCATTCCTGCTATTGTGCGCTCGGCATGGTAACTGTAGGGAGATTGAAAGTGTGTACTCCCGTATCGTAGAGGAAGTAATACTGTGTTCCGTATTGACGCAAAGCCTCCTTCCTTGTATTAGTGTGAATGCGTGCCACCAAACCAACTTGCACACTAGAACGTGGGTGTAACCCACTATGAGTTTAGCTCTCTCTATATGTCGTGTGTGGAATACGCGAAAAAACTCCTTCACTTGGTGTGTGGCCATGTACCTCTGAGTTAGCGATAGTCTAATGCAAAAGATGATGGCTTGCTGCTGGGATCCAATGGACAAGTCGTCATCATCAGATCTTCCAAACATTAATGGTCTCTAAATGAAATTTTGTCACTATGAAGTTCTCCAACAACCAAATTTTTCGCACGTCCCGTCAATTTCGTTGTAGCAATATCTGACTGTATATCGCTCGCTGCAGTGTTATGCCGGAGCAGCAGCACTCCTGCGATGAGTCCTTGACATGTTTGGTGCGAATTGGGGCCAATGCTTCAGCTCATCTCACTACTTTAACGCAGGGAAACTGCATCTGGGCAGCAGTCAACTCAGCAGCAGCGACTGTCGTCAAACACCACTGCGGGTGCATCTTCTGCGGCTTCCTTGGCACCAAGCTCTGTAGATCTGTCTGCATCAGGTATTGCTTGCTTTTGCTCTCTCTAAAAGAATGTATAAAGGGGCCTTGCAACCACTTTGCTTACTATTGGACTCTGTTGCCTCACAAATATTTAGGTATTCGTCATGCTTCAGTAAAGTTAATGCATGACTTACAGCTTGGGATAGGTAAATAGCAAGTTTTCGGTCCGAAGCGAGTTTGAGGTGAATAGTAACTTGATCGAATAATATTTAACCTAATAGTTCGAATGATACATATCACATGAGCACGTTTGTCATGACCTAACTTGCATAATATATATTGAGAATTGGAACTAGGCATGTATTTTTCGCACTTTTTTGTTCCAAGTGAAACGGAAGAAACCATGATGCTGGATGCAAGTTGCAAGCAGTGAAATGCATTTTGTATGAACTATTCCCTGTTCTTGTAGCATATATGCCCTTGTAAGATGCTATAAACTGGGGAGGGGTGAAGCATGTAGAAAAGGGTGTTCAGTACTGAACCTAACATGCACACTTAACAACATTAAGACGCTTCTTCGTGGATCTACGCATATCTTCTTGATGAGTCGTTTTATGGCATACCAGTCCATGCTGCAGTGAAGTCATTTTTCCAAGAGGATTAGTTGCCTATTCGTTCGAAATGTCGACTGATTTAAGTTCACCTCAACATCAATTCAAATACCGTACTGTTTGTTTTTTCATTTGAAGCACTCGAACTTGCCGACGTCACTTACAAAAATTTTGAGAGAAAGAATGGGGAAGCCTACAGAGTTGATTTTTCTTTTTTTCATGCATTACCGCAGGCTCCAAAGAGGGCACGGCATCTGCAGCAGCGATGCTTAGGCAATCCGATGACGATCCCAATGCAGAGGTGCGACGGCGCCGACTCCAGCGGTTCTCCCAGGGTGCCACGCCCAACGGAGTTTCTAGTCCAGACGCAGCGACCGAGTCAAACGGCACCGGTGACGACAGCAGGCATCCTCACTAAAGGCGTGCCGCCACCAATTAAAACACTTAGGACAGCAAGATCAGGGACACGCAGCAGCAAGCTCCTTTTTCTCACCGACACACAAGCCGTGGTCGTTTTTCATTTTAATTTTTTTTGTTTTCCCCTTTCTTTTTCCGACCGTCTCGTCCCCGTCCAGCACCAGGACAACGGGAAAGACGGCTGCACCGGTACAATGCCGCGCGTTGTCGTGGCAACGCTCCTTCGCCGTTATCTTATCGCCTCAGCACCGACTACTGAGTTCCAGTTCTAAATTAGAAGACAATGTCCTGCTCTTTTTTATTTTGTTTTCTTTTTCGTGATGCCATTAGAGGAGGGAAGAGTGTTCATGGACAGTGCTCGCCTGTATATGTTGCCAGTTTCTTTCGGGGCAATCGTGAAAATGAAGGATTGTTCCATTCCTCGTTTTGTTACTCGTTTGCACATTTATCTTTCTTCCTGAAGTGACTCTCGTGCCAGCAGTGGTTTATTGATTTGCCTGGACTACCACGGGCACCTACCTTCACCCCCACCCTTTCCCTTCCTGGTCCCGACGGCTGCGGTGCCTGGCAAATGTGCTGGCAGTGGTGGTGTTCTTATTTATTGTACAGATTGTGTATAAAAAGCTTCACCAAGTAAAAAGGAATTCAGCCCAGGACTGTTAGACATTTCTTTTTTTAATGAAGAACCCTGGCCAATAAAGGCACTCCTTTTCTGCAATGCTTTGCAGAAATGCTTGTCTTTTGGCTGATGCACTTATGGAGACAATATTAAAGGAGTTATAAACCACCACTCAAGCTTGGCGAGAAAAAAACATCCTGCGAGTAGCAAACACTTCTGCGAATATCTCTGCCATATTTTGTAGTAGTGTGCGTCAAGGAAAGCTTGCGAGCAGGAGTGTGATGTTGCCATTTTCTCAGGTGCCTTCTTTTGCGAACAAACCCATAGTATTCCTGCTCGTTTTCGATGGACTGGAGAAATTTTTGTGGCAAGTAATTCAAGAGACAAAAGCTTGGAAACTGCTTGAGCTTTGCCTTCAACAGCTAGAACGAGATGGCTTAAGGGACCCCATGAACATCACCTTCTCAGTGATAAGCCTAGCTTAACTTTAGGGGGGACTCCTCAACCATGCCCCAGTAAAAACAAATGGCTGTGCATGTAGTGTTGGTCATGTTGAACTATCCTGGAAGCCTACTGCATGCACAGGTGCAAAGTACCCACCAAGCCTTCATTATTAGTATTTTTTTTTTTTTTTGCTGATTAGTGAAGAGCCCCTTAACGTCTATCAGGCAACAAACCTATCCAGCTGCTCGTTTTGTTGATGCTATTGCTGATGGTGATTTTTATCAAGGGGGTGGTGAATTCAAATTTCAAAACTATAACAAGCCTGTTGTGGGTTTTCTCTGTATGCAAGGGCACTCCAGTGTCCACGCAAAGGGCCGGACGTAGCACAGCAAACGTTTATATAATCTTCTTTTTATTCACTTCCAAAGTGTACCTAAATGCTTATTCTGTTGAACGAGACCCATTGCTAGCGCATCCAGCACGATAGATTGACGACCCACCAGATCTTCAGTGACGTAAATGACCTTCGGACCACCGCAAAGGTACGTACTAGCAAGGCATCGGTTGCTATGTAGCTCGTGGCTGCTGCTGCTTAGCACGGCAACCGTCCGCACGTTTGTTTTTCTGGTGCTAGCGTGGCACGTGTGTTCGGGCATGAAGCGACGCCTCTACTCTTATCGAAGTACTCGAGCATTTTGATTACAAAACTGACATGCCGTGTAAACCAAAACGTCGGTGAACTCCCTAATGCCATAGTTGATGAAAAAAACTCGAAATAATATTCACTCAAAAAAGTGCACATGTGTTTCTATTGTGAGACAGAAGTCTCGCTGATCGTGACGGTAACGGTGTCTTCATGACGTGGTAGGAGCAAGCAAGTTAGGGCAATGTACAAGTAAGAAAATGTGTCCGTGTGTATTTACACGCGTGCGCCAAGCAGCTCAGTTTCCCGTTCAAGAACTAACATCTGATATATATGTGACATATGAAGCCATGGTAGTAGAGGTGAATGAGGAAGAAGTCTGAACAGAATAAACATGGGGTATGAGCCAGGCCACGTCTCCCAGTCATCATAGCATCGCACAAGTCGACAGGATGAAGACCTGGCAGCCACTTCATCAACCAGCCATCATCATCGAACAGCTCGGCAAGACGCAGTGACCGAACGTGGACCGCACAAGTGCGTCTCAACTCTACACCATGACCAGCATCATAACAGCACCATCAGCTGACCTTGAAATCCCCAAGTACACCTGATCAGCGAACGATGGACCCGCACAGGAGTGGTTCAACCTATTCGAGCTCCACGCCACCGCTGCATCCTGGTCGGAACGGAAGATGGTTACGAACTTCAGCGACTACGTCACCGGTGAGGCATTTAAATTTTACCTTGCCCACATATTCGAGAATGACGAGTCATGGCTTAAGATCAAAGAGGAGATGATTACTCGTTTTAACAACTATGACGAAGACCTACTTATTGCCAACCATCTTGAGACAACCGCGCACTATCATAGATTCCCTAAGAAGCCGTCAAGCATTCGAAAGCCCTATAAGAATCGAAAACTGCCACACGATGAAGTGGAACATAAGTTTACTCACAGAAGACCATGCGTATTTTGGGAAAAACCCAACCACCAAGCACGGCACTCTTCTGCATGCAAGATGGCACTTCCAAAGTTGTCGCACCAACATATGAGACGAGGCGTTGCTCACCCGTACTGATGCCCTTCATGCTTAGTCTCGCATACATGGTCCACCACCTGGTTTTCTACGACGCAGCTCTTCAAAGGCTCCCAACGGTCACTATTCGTGTCATAAGGACCCCTTGTTGATGGTAGACCAGCTGACGCATGGGGAAAACACCGAACAACTCCATGACGACTCGAAGAATGAAAATCCTGGTTTTCCATCGCTTGGCTCTTTTGTCGCTCACAGCGCTCACCTCGCGCCTCACACACCCACTACAGTCAGGATAGAGCTGCAGAACAAGTAGGATACTGGCCATGCCCTGCGGCTTTTATCCAGATCCATTCGTCAGAACAGCTCAACTCGTTAGTTGCACAAAAAGACAGGCATTCAGAACTGAAATCTGACCAAACCACGTCTGTTGCGGTGTCACCGTCCAGTGCGCAGCCACGTAAAAATCCAAACACAGAAGGCTCGGAAGCACCAACTCTCACAAGGTACCGGATGCCCGAAGCCTCTGTAATGTCACAGGTGCCAGTGATATTCCTCCAGTCAGGTCTGTTCTGCTAACTTCACTGCACGAAAACCATTGCAACAGCTACCAAGTGAGCACTACGTCAAGTTGCCAAGAAAAACATTGCCTTTTTCCGGAAGGGCTGCCACCTCAACATTTTTCGCAACACCAGAAAGACCAGCACAAGAAAATCAACCAGGTTAAGCGACATGCTATCCGACATAGACAACCACAGTCATCGAAAGACCGCTTGCAGCTCAAGGAAAGCCATTTGCAAGAGACTCAAGTGAAGCGTCGACAAATTTAAGATGTCTCCCTCGACAGCAAGAACACATCAGATTCAAGCCATTTTCCCGAAAAGAAACATCACACAAGTTTTCTCCAGCAGAGATCAAGACGAAGCCAGATATCCAAACATTGCCCACGATCCGATCAACGGATCTAACGCCACAGAAAACTACGAAAGAGACTGGACGTTATCATTAGTACAACGCACGAACATAGACATAGTTCGTTGAACTTCATCTTGTACACGCAGGCTGGAAGCATTCATTCTGTCTCAGCCGCGACACAGAATACAGCGCGTACGATGGAGAATTCGGCGCCTACGACATCCGACCTTCGAATGCCACAAGGACTTCTAACCTTGTTGGCTCCTCCCAGCTGCTCAAGTCGTGTCATGGTCAGTGCAGTTTTGCAAGACGCAGTTACCTTCTCCAGAATGCCACAGCTAGCCTCACCCACCAGAACTCCCCCATTCAATGGACTGCTGCACTCTTTTCTGAAGTTTTGCGAGTTTACGGAACACCACTGGGACATGAAACCAATTGTGCATTTTGACATTTGTGACTTCTCAACCTCTCTTTGTTTACTTTTTCTTATTCGTAACTCATGCTTCTTTCGGGGGGAGGGGAATCATGTGACGTATGAAGCCATGGTAGTAGAGGTGAATGAAGAAGAATAAATCAGAATGGAATAAACATTGGGTATGAGCCAGGCCATGTGTCCCAGTCATTATAGTGTCATATATATATATTTATTTATTGAATAATTCTGCCAATCTTGTCAGAGATTATAAAAGGGAGGGTATATGAATACATATTTATTTACACAAAACCATAATCATTAAAATCGTAAAAAAATGCAATTGCAAAATGACATGCAGTACAGAGCCATAATAAAAACAATTTTAGTAACAATGCAAACAAACTAGATTACAGCTAAAATTATACATATATATAGCTTCAGAAGAATGTTCTTGGCTAACTGATTTGAATATATAAAAGAAGGTCACAGTGAAAAACAAACTATTTATTTTGAGCTTTCGGCCAGGGACAGGCCTTTATCAAAGATGCGATTCATACATTGAGTTGAGTTAAGTACAGATTCCCGTGATACATACACAGGTAAATATATCATTGTGATTCATTAGAACGGGACGGGGGAAGGGACCAGAAGTACAACAGCGCAACAGTTAAGAGGGGGAGGGAGTAAGTTCATCAAATATCGACGACTCCCTCTTAAATAATCGCACAATACACGGTCCTCAATACTGTGTGATGTCGGGGCAGGTTAGGTAGTCAAAATTTCGGCGTTCCACATCATCATATCGTGTTTTTTTTTTTAATGCAGAACCCTCGATGTTATAACAATTACAACGAGGTGTTTGCACAGGTATAAGCTTTCTAACGTGCTCGGGGGACGAGAAAATTAATTTAAAATCTTTTGCGTATTAAATTATTTGCTCCTGGCAAATCACTGGACTCCAAGAACTACAAGAGCAATGCCAGCGCGAGATCTTTGAAGCATTTTCGTAGGAAAATAAAGAGAGAACGGTGCCAGCGTGCTGTGACTATCGCTACACCACGAAATCTTGCTCTTATACAACGCGCGGGTTTCACTATATCGTGATCCCTATCTGTTTAATTCGATTCTGGTCTTTTGCGTGAAACCACTATGCCATTATGAGGCACGAGGTAGTGGGGCACTAAAGACTAATTCTGACCATCTAGGGCTCTTTAGCGAGCACATACATCCGAACACACAGATGTTCTTACGTTTGCCCCCATCAAAATGAATCCACCGTCACAAGAAATTGAACACTCGTTTAAGAGGTTAGAAGTGCCTACTTTTTTTGAACGTGAAAGTGTTTTATGCCGGGGTTCACCAAGGCTACGCTGACGTATTTCCGTCATGGATATGACGTAGTAAAATATATACTAACAGATTAAAAAAAAGAGATGGAAAGATACTGCCGCACGGCGCAGAACCAGCAACCTCTCGATTCGCAGCGTGCGGCGCAAACCACTACGGCTTAAAAAATACGTTGTCGAGAATGCTAACGGCAAACCCACGGAGTGGCAAGCCATTTATATACACCATTATCTCTTT